GTTTGTAAATATCCTCCGCACCAGATCCGGTTTTTGTTGAGTCCTTTATTTTTTTTAAACAATTCTGTACTGTGTCAGCAATGTGTTCCTTTTTCTCTTCAATTCTTCTATAGTGCACGGCATTGAAAAGTTGTGTCGAATTCGGTTCCAGTCGTCATGAATGTTATTCCTATTCTTATGCCCTTTACGATCCCATATGTCTGGCTCTCGTTGAATCAACTCAATCACGTGCTCGTTGCTCCATTCCATTGTTGGTACAACCACAATACAACAGCTCTCCACGGCGACACACATGCAACTGGCAGGTTACACAAACATTTGGACTGTGATCCATTTGATGTGCGCTAGAAAACCGACCCGGAACGGCAAAGCGCACTCAAGTGATCAAATATGTGACAGTAGTACACCCTTGCCACGTCAGGGTGTCCTGCTAGCGTCTTCCGTCCAACGCGGTGGTAAAACGTCGATTGGGAAACCGCCCTTTACTCATAGACGCCCGCATATTGGTATGCTATGTCTGCATATAATAATACTTCTCAAGATGTTCAGACAACTTTTGCGAGAAACCCTACCACATTGAATTCCCTTTGATTTGACTTCGTTTGATTATCGAATGCATTCAGAATTGAATGCTGTCATCCATAACTGTTAGATACAAGAACGATATCCTGACAAAAAGTTCAATCACACCCTACACTTGATAGTTAATTGCAAATTAAGCTGCAAAAAGCTGCTGTATCCTACCAGCATATTGATAATACGCTCAATCGTGAGATCTACAGGGTGTTCAAGAAAAATAGATAACTGATGACAAACTCGCACAATTTATTATAAAAAGTCACAAAAAAATACTTAAAAATATGGATACGAACAAGAAGATAACATCTAAAGCATATGCTCGAAGTGTCCACCAGCTTTGATTCGTGAAAGTTTACGGACTCCATAATTCCCATCCCATCACTGAAATATGACTCAAAACACGATCTAAGAGTATCCCTACGACGATGAAATGAGGCTGCCTCTGCCATTGTCAAAGTATGATTGTGTTCACCTTTTATTATAATTATCGCCGGATACCCATCCTTAAAAACGGACAATGTTACAATTTTATTAACATTATAAATTGTATACCTTTACAAATTTGCTTTTTTTTTCACCGTATCACTAGTTGTCATCTTTATCGTAATTGATAACTCGGCCTGGCACCCTGTTTTCCTCTTTTTTACTCTTTTATGACTGCTGTGATGACAGACAAAAGTTTTCCTGAAAAAGTCGTAAGTCAATTATTTTGTATTGTATTCGACAGTATAACTTTACCTGATATAAAATAAAATAAAAATTTAGGTTTTAAGGTGTGTAAAATAAACAGATTATTTTTTTCCTTAAATTTTAAATGAGCAATCTATAAACTAAAAAAAAAAAAATTGTTGCAATTTTCAGATTCCCTACTTTTCCACCTCCATGATTAATTTTTTTCTATAACCTTTTATTAGAAGAACCCTTAAAGTACAAAATATGAACTAAAATTGGATTAACCTCAGGTTTTAGGGATGATATATTGTCGTTATTTCGGGTCACTCATGAAGGCAACCTCCCCGACCAAAAATCTAAATTTACACACAAATACTCCAGATTTGCCTTAAAAATAATTTCATCCCCTGATTTCCTCTTTTGAAGTCAATATTTTTTCATCAAATTAATATGGGACTACCCCCCCAGAGGCATTTATACCCTTTCATTTAAAAAAATAATTATCATAATCGGATAAGCCATCTTGAAAAAATCGGTAAACACACATAGAAAAAAACATAGCTGACGAATTGAAAACCTCCATCTTTTGGGAAGTCGGTTAAAAATATATTTTGCATTCGTTTAAACAATATTATGCCCTTCGTGCGCCTTGAATTTTCGAAGTAGGTATTCTGAAAATTAGTTCTAACCCAAACAAGAACAATCCAGCTCGAAAATATTCAAAAAAGTCTAGCTCCAAAAATAAAAATGCTACGGTCGTGATTAGAATTAAATAAATAATCCTTTACAATAACAATACACTTACCTATATACAAGGCGACGCGGATTTGCGAGACCACATTTGAATCGCCAAGTTGTAAGAGTTTCTACTAGCCCATAATCTCTCAGCCACTGCATAGCGCCTTCTTCGTCTGTAAACTTTCTCCTGTATATATTGTTTTTTATTTTAATGCAACCTTCCATTGTTCTGCTCAACTCGAAACGTATTAAAAACGATGACGTTTGAACTTTGAGGTTATAATATCTAACGTAAACCGCCTAAACGATAAAGAACGCATCGGCGACCTTCGACATTCCGAACTGTATGGGCGTTTTCACTCTAGCCGACACGATCACGGCACGACAACGACACCGACACGATAAGGCCCGCCGCACATGCCCACACTCGCACTCGTTCACTACACTGCGCCAATGTCGCTTTGACATTGGTGGGCACGTGTGTGTCCGCAATTGCTTTCACGAGTCGTACATCAGTCAGTGTCTCTACCATTCGTAGACGACGAACGGAGCAAGATGGACGCGATTGATATAAGTTCAGAATGCGACAGTGATAACGAGTTTTTGAATAGATTATTGTTAATAAGGAAATCATCGGAAAAAAAAAATATGGAAGAGCTCTTACCTGTCCAAAAGGAAAACACATGGAGAATTCAAATTAACTTCTGAGTTTTCAGACGAAAAATTTAAAAATTATTTTAGAATGACTAGGAGCGATTTTAAGGAAGTACATGCGATGATTGCTACAGATTTAGAAGATCAAGAATATGGTGGCCATGAACGAATTAGTACTGAAGAAAAATTGGCCGTTTTCTTAAGGTAAGTTTATTATGTAGGTAAACAATTACAAAATTAAGCGGAACTATTCAAAGCACAATAATAATTTATAAATTTAATTTACAAAGTTTGAAACATATTTCCAGAACTGTCAAGTTCATTACCGTGAGTCATTATAATATTTGGTGTCCCACCTTCCTGTGGCTGTTGTTGCATAGGAGTAGACGTATAATATGTTCCTGCATCACTATGTGGCTGTTGTTCTACATGAGAAGGCGTATATGATGAATAATATGATCTTACATCACTATTCTGTGAATAGGAAGAAGGTGGACGAGGCGAATATTCCACCAAGTTTTTTTATTCTTCTTGGGACACCAATGAAAATATGTTTGATTTAATATTGTGTTGAGAAAGTGGCGGCAATCTTTTTGTAGTCTCGTACATACTAATAAAAAAATGAAAAAGTGGATCATTTTTAACATTGCTTATGGTGAAATCATTATAATTGGTGTTAGCAATTAAGCGCTCCCGTTCTTGCTGTCTTTTAGCTACTCTACGTTCATGGTCCTCAATCGATTTAGTTAGTGAGTTATTCAAAGTTTTCTTTTTTCGTCGTCTTTTATTTCCTTGATCAGCTGATGTTCCAGTAGATTGTGATTCAAGGGTTTCATTAGTTTCTTCAACTCCTGATTCATGAATATCCGTATCATTAATATTTTTTTGAATGTCATTTTCTATAGTATTTGAATTACTATGAGATGATTCGTCATTTAGTATGTCTTCATTAACATTGGTGTTACTTGGCCTATTTGCCATATGCGGAATCAAAAACGCCATATTTTCTTGAAAGCGAGATGCTTTTATACAGGGTGGCGCAGAGGAAACGCACGATTTTCACCTAAGCATAACATTTTTTATTTTCAAGATAACTTTGTTTCAGTTACAGCTAAATAAAGTAATGATAGTGCACTTTTAAACTAATGATGGTAAATAACGTCACTCAAGTGTCGCCCTGCTTCGCGCTCGCACATCTCCAACCGCTCTTGAAAGTTGTGCATTACACGTAAAATCATTTCTTGTGGTATTCTTGCAATTTCTTGACGAATAGCAATTTTCAGTTCCTGTAACGTACGAGGCTTGTGAGGGTACACTTTATCCTTAAGGTAACCCCACAAAAAGAAGTCGCATGCGGACAAATCTGGGGAGCGTGGGGGCCAAGGGACATCGCCGAAACGGGAAATCACATGTTCAGGAAACATCTGTCGAATCCATTCCATTGATGCTCTCGCTGTGTGAGCTGTGGCACCATCTTGTTGGAACCACAGCTCTCCCATGTTTACTTGTTGCCGTTGAAGTTCGGGTAACAGAAAATTTTGTAACATGTGAACATAACGTGCTGAAGTAACTGTTACTGCTCTTTCTTCCTCTTCAACAAAGTAAGGACCAACGATACCTAATTTACTGATTCCGCACCACACAGTTAATTTTTGACTATGCAAGGGTCGTTGGTGTAGCTCTCGTGGATTTTCGGCCGCCCAATAGTAGTACAGCTATAGGCGTTCCCGACCACCTAAAATAGCATGTGAAGTTGTACCGTAAAACTTATAGGCGTTCCCGACCACTACACGTTCTGGACCAAAGTACGTTCTAGATCAGTCTCTCTAGACCAAAAGTCATTCTAGACCAGTCACTCTAGACCAAAGTACAAAAAAAAAAAACGTCGTTTTTCAATGCGCCGTTTTTTGTCACCATCCCCCTTAGTAGCGCGCGCGCGTGTGCATGCGGCTCGTTCTGGCGGGCGTACTACGGGGGAGGAGGGGGTGTAGATAGCAGAGAATAAACGATACGCTGTAAGGAGTTTATCTATCTTTATTTTTTTTTCTCATAGTTACACGTTGTTTTGAATTTAATTGTTTTATATAATAATTCCCCTTTGTCATTATAATGTACCTTTATAGTTATGTTTTTTGTTGGTTGGTTTGGTAGGGCTGGCACTTTTTCCCTTTTATTGCAAGGGCAACTTTGTTTTTGTTGTATGTTTTTGGTGGTGGTGGATGGTCCGGGTGCCGTTGATGCAGGTGCCGCCGGAGATGGAGTAGATTCTATTGATTCGGAGCAAACCAGAGAGTTGTCTTCTTCTTCTTCTTCTTCTGAAAGTATGTGATAATTGATAGACTCTGGACAAAAGCAGAAGTGTTTTTGACATTTTAGGCAGTATGCTGTACCGTACTGTGACATTAAGTACAGCTATAGGCGTTCCCGACCACCTAAAATAGCATGTGAAATTGTACCGTAAAACTTATAGGCGTTCCCGACCACTACACGTTCTGGACCAAAGTACGTTCTAGACCAGTCTCTCTAGAACAAAAGTCATTCTAGACCAGTCACTCTAGACCAAAGTACAAAAAAAACGTCGTTTTTCAACGCGCCGTTTTTTGTCACCATCCCCCTTAGTAGCGCGCGCGTGCGCATGCGCATGGGGCTCGTTCTGGCGGGCCTACTACGGGGGAGGAGGGGGTATAGATAGCAGAGAATAAACGATACGTTTTAAGAAATTTATCTATCTTTATTTTGAGGTACGTTATGCATAAACAAAACATTGTACATCTTGTTTTGCTATTCTGGGAAACTTTTTCTTAAATTCTTCTACTGTATACTCTTGATCTCGATACTACATTTTTCCTACATGACCGACTAGCTTGTGCAGTCCATATCTACCGCAATGTAATAAGTTGTCTTTCATCGTCGTTATAGGATAATAATTTAAGTGATGTCCGATCACATACCCTATAGTTCGGTTGTCTTCGTTTTTAATCACTGTACCAAATGGCAAGCCACCTGGCGTTCCATCGTAATAGAACGCTGGGTATTCTTGTAGCACGACCTTGTCGTGTTGATAGATTACGTATATGTAAAATGTTCCATCTTCTTGAACTGGTACAGTGAAGTCGAGAACTTTTATTACCCGTTGATTATTAGTGTGTGACGTCATTATTGCATTTAGGTAAATGTTCACAGTTCAGTGGTTGACTGATGATTGAAAAGATTACATTGTATGTAGATATATATAGTACTTAGTCATTTGCAGATATTTTTAGACGTTTAGTCATTTTGGATGCAAATTTCTCACATTTCTCCAGTCTCTTAATTTTTTGTAACTGAGTACGTTCTTTTTGTTTCAGTGTTTGTAGTCTTTTACGTTCCTTGTTTAATTTTCTTGAAATTTCACTGAATTTCTTTTCGCATAGTCTGTTGACTTTTCGTAGATAACCTCCAATAAGGCGCAGTTCATCGTTGTTCACATGTTTTCTATGAGTCACAATATCATCTGTAGGACTGCTTTGCTCTTCAATATAATTGTTTACCAACTGTTGCATATCCTTTCCAGCATTACGATTTGCAGGAGCTGTTGACGATACATCAATGGTGGTTGAATTATTAAAAATATCATTTCCGATTAAGAATTCATCCATATCAAAACTATCAGCCTACAAGAAAAAAAAAATGAACGAATTAGCTAATGTATATTTTTATATAACCATGATAATAAAACTTACTGAATGTGCATAATTATGTGTCAATTCCAGATTTTGAGGAGAATTTTCTTCCATGGTAACTAGTTGTTGCGAACACAGCTTGGCTACGACTGAACATAACTATCTAAGGAAAGTGAACTACTAGGAATTTGTTGACGTATGTCATGTGACTTTCGAGAAGTATGAGTGTTTTATGATATATGTGTCATATAAAGGGTGTCCCAAAATTAACGCAAGATTTGAATTAAATAGAAAATGCCATTTTTAGTCTTTTAATAGTTATATTTTTATTGACTCATAAAGTACATAGGATAGGGTTATGTATGGAATAACACATCGGACAAATGGCCTCCACGGCTTTGCATGCACATGCGCACTCTTTTGTCGAAATTTTCCATGACCCTTCTGCATAAATGTGGCTGAATTTCGTTGATGCAGCGTTGAATCTCCTCCTTTAATGCACGGGTGGTTGTGGGCTTGTTGACATAGACTTGTGATTTCAAATAACCCCATAAAAAGAAGTCTAATGGTGTTAAATCACACGATCTAGGAGGCCAATTTTGATCACCGAAACGAGAGAGTACACGACCGGGAAATGTCTCATGCAGTAATTGAATTGTTTCACGGGCTGTATGACATGTGGCACCGTCTTGTTGAAACCACATATTGGGTACATCAATATCATTCAATTTTGGCAGAAAGAACTGTGTAATCATGTCGCGATATCGAGCACCAGTAACAGTCACTGCTTGACCAGCATCATTTTCAAAAAAATATGGCCCAATTATGCCTCCAGCCCAAAATCCACACCAGACAGTCACGCGTTGTGGGTGCATTTCTTTTTCGACAATCACACGTGGGTTCTCCGAACCCCAAATGCGGCAATTTTGTGCTTCATCGCTTAGGATGATTTTGCTTGAAAAATCAGGGTCCATTTGTTGATGTTCAATAATCCATTCAACAAACTCTCTTCTCTCTGCATGGTCATTAAGCTTCAATTGTTGTGTTAATTGAAGTTTGTAAGCATGAAGACACAGATCTTTGGTGAGTATACGCTGTAGAGAGGTTCTTGACATTTGCAATTCTTGTCCACGACGTCGAATTGAGGTTCCTGGATTGTCCGCAACACTCTCACGCACTGCTTCGATATTCACATTTGAACGGCTTGTTTTTGGACGACCAGTGTGTTTGGCGTCTCCAACGGATCCAGTCTCCATGAATTTTTCAATTAATCTCTTCACAGTTGACGAAGTTAAAACACTATTCCGGCCATATTTTGTATGAAATTTTCGAACTGCAGCCGCCAAGCTTTCACTATTTTTGAAATATTCTTTAATAATGAAGACACGTTGTTCTATCGTGTAACGCTCCATTTTTCATAACCCTATACTGTTAGCTGTCAAATTGCTTTTTTTCAGGGTTGCCAACACTTCACTGCACAAATGGCGGCAAATTCAAATCTTGCGTTAATTTTGGGACACCCCTTATAAATAATAATAATACACGCCTATGCAATATAGAATAATACTGATCGTACCGCTGCGCTGTATGAATATTAGGGTGGAGCGTTTATGTATGGATTAATTTTTTTTCCAAATATTGAATTGTAATAGGGAGCAATTGGTGCAGTATATTATAGTAAAAATATATGTAATTTCTCAATTAATTTTTCCAACATCTTCTGCCTCCGCACTGACCCCACAAAATCTAAATTTTAACTAAAAAATATTAGTACACATTTTACCAACTATTGAGCTTAGTTTAATGATATATGGGTGATGAATCACTTGCAAAATTAATCTAAGATATTTATTGAAGAACTACAATTAAAAATACGGTAACATTTTAAGAACAATAGTAAGAAAATATATACATATTTATATATTACTTTCCTTTAAAATTTCTTTTTGTCTCAAATTTAGGCATTATATTCCGAGATTCCAGTTTGGCTTTTATTGCACCCAATCGTGCCTTTTCCGTACATTGGGACGTGGCTGCCTCTGTCGTCACTTTTACAGCTCGTTCTACAGCTTGTGTGTGACACGGAAGCTTCAAAAAGGTCAATTGATTCTCATCCCCAGTTTCGACGACGCGCCAAATTTCTTGGTCAGAAAAGATTTTTAAAATAGGGGGTTCCGTTATTTTTTCCTGCCAATTTATTAAATCAACGTATGTAGAAGCATTAAAATTAATGCAAGGCAACTCAAATAATCTAATTGTTGATGTTTGCTGCGTGCTACGTGCTTTCAATACACGCCTGGCTGCCAGTTCTCGAATATGTTTCTTGGCATCAGTTAACATTGCAAGAAGCGTGTTCTCCGGATGTGCAAAGTAGCTATTCCGTTGAATGACAGGATCGATTATCTTTTTAAGATCTTCTGACAGGTATCTGGAGGCAGAAATTATAAAGAAAAGATGTCGCGTTCCATCCTTGCAGAAGGGTTTGTTTTTAATAAGGAACCAAGATGGTGCGTAAACTTTAACAACAAATTTTGCCAGAGTTAGCAGTTTCTCTGATGGTGTTTCGGTTGCTACATACAAACGCAATATTCTATTGGCACGTGTGAGCCAACGGGCATGTGAAAGTTTGCCGGGAGATTTATTTGACAGATCCTCTGGAAAAATACCTGTAAGAACCGCTGTGACAATATTATGTAAGTACTGTTGATCTGTACTCAAATCTTTGGCCATTTCTGGAAGCATTTCTCCTTCAATAGGTTGAAATTTTCTAATAGGTAGTTGTTCACAGGTCTCTAGTGCTTTTCCTAAAGGTCCAGAGAAAGACTTAGGTCCCGAAGTACACCCATCAAGATGAAGAAACAAGTGTCTCAAAGGCAGTTCATTCATGTGCAGCAAACACACTATCCACTGGAGTGGTTTTTGTAGTTTTCTCTCGAACAGTCTTATTATACCTCCATTCTTTCCAGTATTAACATTTGTGCCATCGCAACCGATTGCAATAAGTTCATGAAGAAGTATTTGTTCACGTGTTAGAAACTCTGCTATGGAGATTTCTATTCCTTTTGCTGTCCCAACATTAGGCACCACGTATCCAAGATAAATTGATCCAGGCTCTTGAATTAGTGAGATATGTTCCTCGACAGTCAAAGTCCTGTAGCATTTGCCATTCTTTTTAACGATCTTTAACGTTTTGTCTTTCCTCCCGTCAAAGTATAAAGCATTAAGTTCCGAAATTTTCACCTCATTCAATAACTTATTTCTTGTTTTGGTTCTCTGTCTACGTAATTTATGCCTGTCAATGACGCCAATATCAGAATCAATGTCGAACAAGACAGATGATGCAATCGCGGCTGCAGCCCTATCTGACACTCCGTACCTGTCACATGTCTTCGAGAGCGTCGGAAAATCGATGCGTGAGGATTTTTTCCTTTTCTTTTGAGTAACTTCTTCGAATTCGCTTCTATCTGACATTGATGACGTTTCCGAAGAAGTACTAACATTTAAAACAGCCAACGATGATGTACTCGTATTCGAAGATACATTTTGGCGGTTCTCTCGTTCATGTTTCCGTTTTAAAGTGCTTTGCAACTTCTTAGTGATGATTGGATCGATTCCACCGATTATCATATGTCGACAGGTTCTTTGATCAATTAGGAAGGCTTGTTCTTGTTTAGGAACCTTTTTATCCTTTGGGCAGGTGCACTTAATAAATTCTTTGCATTTGCATGCCGAAATATCAAAAAGTAACCTACCACTATGATGAAATCTCTCTAATTTATCTTCAGATACTCTTTGCACAGATTTAAGTAGATTTTTGTATTTTAAATGATAGGCTTTCAACATTTGTATGATTCTTGTTCGTGTTACTGTAGGAATAGATGCAGTTTGCCATATATTTTCAATCGTGGATGTCACTATATCTGCTATTTCCGCAAAAACTGGCTCTTTGGCAGTTTCTAACCTCAATTTTCGTTGATGTCTTGTCCATTCATATAACTTGATAACATCGTCGTAAGTAGGTAGAACATTGTATTTTAACTCACAAATAACACCCAAAACAGGACATTTAAACACACTCCGAGTTCTCGGCATGTCTTAAAAGAATAACAATAATTAAATATGGCCGGCACGTGATCGTTGCGAGCGAAAACAAAAGCGCAGGCGCACTGAGGTCGTGGCACAGTATTGCCAAATCTCTGATTCTCCTTCGACTTGAATTGAATTTCAATGACATTGCGGAGGCAGTTACCGTAAACGAAATCAAAAAATATTTTATATGGTTCAATTTGATCCTAAAACGCACCATATTTTTGCTATTAGATTGCCATATAACGAAAACAAATTTTTCGCTCCACCCTAATGAATATGTGTGCTGAAGAATATTCTATAGATTTTAGTGAATACAATTCGTATGAAAAACGTATCAGTACATTTGAAAAAGGATGGGCTGGAACCATTAATCCTGCAGTGCTAGCAGCAGCAGGTTTTTTTTTATGTTGGAAGTGAAGATATTTGCCAAGCGTTTTGTTGTGGGATAATAATGTACAAATGGAAGGATGACGATTGTCCTATTAAGGATCATCTAAAATTCTCAAAAAATTGTGACTATGCTAAACGAATGCAGAAGCTATTGAATAGAATGGGAAAGAAGACGGACAAGAAATTTGATGTAATGCATCATGTGATTTTACTTTTAGCTTCATATTTATTAGTTCATTTTGTAAGTTCGATAACATTAACGATTAAATAAAACAATATACTTACAGCAAGAATTTTATTTTGTAAATATTATCAATATTCACACAATTTGGAACCTTAATTTGGTACATTGTTACAAATATGAATATTTCTAAAGCTAACAAACATTTTTTGTTTTTGTTCATATTCCTCAATACACTTTTTGAGGTTATGTAATTTTCTCAGATAGGCATCTATTGAAGCGGCTGCTGTAGTGTGGTCCATCTTGTTGCAAGGATGACTGACAACTATTTTCTCATTAACGCAAGAAGCCACTCTTGAAGCTCAGCACAGTTCCTTAAAGCACACATACATAGTCTCAAACTGTGATGTAGACATCGTGGTTTATTTTTATTGAAGTTCAACACATCTAGACTGGTCTGGAGTACATCTTCTAAGTTTATGATTTCTGGTTGGAATTCCTCATCGCGAAGGGAAGATAACAAAACTAGTTTTTGATGTCATTTAACGTATACAAAATCAACGTCTGATAAATGCGACTTGACGATATCCTTCAACTGGTGCTGTTCCAAGAATCCAGAGGAATATTTCAAACCATGATAATTTTTTTCCAGCCATCGCACTTGCACTTTATCGTTTGTACTTAAAAAACAAAACGGTGTCAATGGTTTAAAAATATAGTGAGTTATCTGGTTACCAATTGAAATCGCTAATTCTTTAGCTAAAAACCCGTTTGAAAGTTGAAAACCTTGAACATCTACTGCTGCTATTTTCATTGCGTAACCGATTAAGATGATTCTAGTACTACGCACCACGACTGACTGAGAGCTTCGACTGCTAGTATGTTACATTTAAATTAGTTTCCGAACAATTTCGCTTAGCGGTAAATACTCTATCACAGAATCATGAATAATAATACAGTAAGTTCTAGTATCAGCGGGAAAACCTTCAGCAGATTCAAATTCTAGTTTTACATCAACGGTGGACGACTTTAAATCTTCGCTTCGCTTGGAACAATCAATAACAAATAAAGCATGAGTTTTGAATGTAGAATAGTCAAGTAATCCGTGTTTATCGTTATCATTTGAATACGTTTTGGCAAATTGCGAATACATATGATCAGCTTCCATATATTTATTATTTTTAAAATCTAACTTCATATCTTCATGAGGATAATAGTCCGAATTAATCATTAACTTTATGTTTGTAAGATTTGCGTTATCTAATATGTGCTTATCCGCTTTTGCTACATCTTTTCTAGCTGTTTGAAAGGCAACAATAACAAATCTTGGAACTTCTATAGCTGAACTTGTCTTTACTGACCATATAGTTTTCGTGGCATTATGAGGTAAGGACGGTAATTCATGTATTGACCACTTCCTATAACCCATAAGTATAGAAGTATCATTCTTTATCTTTTTAAGTACATCCAATTTTAGCGCATCATTTAGAAGTATGTGTTTAACTTTAAGTTCAATAGAATTTATCTGAATGGTAGCCGTTGTGTCACCAATGACCTTTAGACAATTATGATCGTGTCTGGAACGAACCAAACGTATAGTATGCCTTCCAAACATTGGTTTTCTATAATCAAGAAAAAAACCGAGAAGATGCCATAAGGGTATGCGAAATGAAAACGTCATATCCGCATTCAAAATTGCATTGGATGGAAAATTCCATCCAGCTATAGCCATATGGTTACTATCGTTAGGATTGTAACATAAATAACCTCTTATCATGCTCACAATACCAGGATCACGTACACGATCTAGTTCTTTTCCATTCAATTCATATGAAATTGAATCGAACATAAAATCGAACGATGGATTTTCGAATATATGATGGACTGGCAACATTGTATCCCAAAGATTTTAAAAACAAAACGTTTGTAGGTGTTAGTGCTTTAGTTGAAGGATGACTTGTCTTCATAAGATGATTACGAAAGACTGAATCATAAGTTGCAAACTTGTTCTTTTTATATGTGTTACTATTGGAGGTAATAGATAATCCCATTTTAAGTTATTTTTTTAAGTTCCAGTCTAACAATATTGATGCATCACTTGGTATATCAACAATATCCCATGCATTGTTGTCCTCGAATGACCGAAGTTCCTCTTGTATGGCCTCTCTCCACTGATCAGCTTCTGGTCCATTCAGTGCTTCATAAAAATCTATTTGTTCGGCTTCTGAACAAGAATTAGTAGTACACATGTTACCAAACCCAAAACGATCTGGTAGTCTTCGTGTTCTCTTATCTTCTTCTTGTAATGCCGCTATATCTTGAATCTCACTAAGCGAGACATCTGTATCTGTGTTTGTGGTGCTTGTATCATCATCACTGCCACTAGACGGATCAGTATATACAGATGTATGCGAATCTGAGTCATGGAGAGATTCATTCACTGAAGGCTCCCCCACTGAATCTCTGCCATCTTCAATTGTAGGAGATTCATGAACTTCAATTTTTACATCATTCTGTATCCATTCTGCTGTGTCTTCTTCAATCTTTTCTGATGATACTTTCTTTTCTTCCATCACTATTATATCTCTCTTAATAGTTATAATATTTGTTATAGGATCATATACACGATATCCCTTCACTGACTCTGAAAATCCCACAAGAATGTTCATTTGGGCTTTCTTGTCCCATTTTAATCTTCTTTCTTTTGGTATGTGAACCATTACAGGGCTACCAAACAGACGAATATGACTTAAATATGGTTTCTTCTGGTACCACGCTTCATAGGCTGTCTTATTTCCCAAACTTGAAGTCACAGATCTATTCTTTAAGTATACTGCTGTATTAGCTGCTTCAGCCCAGAACTTCTTTTCTAGTTTTGCATCGAAAAGTAAACATCGTGCTTTCTCTACAATAGTTCTATTGGCCCGTTCACTAACACCATTTTGCTCAGGTGTGTATGCAGTTGTCTTCTGGTGGATAATTCCCTCTTTGTGTAAGTAATTCTCCATCTCACTGCTACAAAACTCACCACCATTGTCTGTGCGCAATATTTTTATTTTCTGATTTTACTGGTTTTCAGCCATTGCTTTAAAATTCTTGAATATATTGAAGACTTCATTCTTATATTTGAGGAAGTATATGAAAGTCATACGACTGTGATCGTCAATGAACAAGACAAAATATTGAGCACCACCTATGGACTTTGTCTCCATGGGACCACATACATCGGAATGTATTATCTGTAGTGTTTCTGTACTTATTTGTCCAACTTGAAGAAATGGTAACCTCATTTGTTTACCTTCACAACAGGTCACACATTTAGTCATTGTTATATCACTAGTCCGGATAAGACAATCCATCCACAATGCCATTCTTCATTTTATTCAAATCATTGCTGTTAATATGTGCTAACCGCCTGTGCCAAAGCTCTGCACTTGCTACAACAGGTGCTGCCAGCATACAATCTGCTATATTGATACTTAGCTTGTATACCTCATTTGTTGACATTGCTGTAGCCACCAATACATTCTTATTGTTACGAATGTAGCATTGGTTTTCTTCAAAAACAACCTTATTTCCGTTTTTGATTAGCGCGCTCACTGACAACAGGTTTGTTGTTAAGCTCGGTACACATAGCACATCTTTAACCCTCGGTTAGGCGCGCGGCTGTTTATAACGTATTTGGGCGCGCGGGCTACAATTGTAGCCCAACTTTTATTCCATATAAAATTTGTTTATGCCTTTTTTAAGCCGCTTTTTTCATAAGATATATTCACTATGATATTACTTAATCGCTAAAATGTGATTTCCTTGCTTTCATGTACAAATATGTTTTAGCATGTGCATAAAATACCAATTATGAATATTTCTTATGTATTTTCGAAGCAGCTCGTATTCATTGTCTTTTGCAAATGAAATATACAACTGTGGAACCACAACTTATTATTTAGAGAAAAAATACAACATACTTAACCTAACACAAAATCCAAATCAATCAAATAATAATAAATGGCAATGTTCTGGAGTCCCCAATATGACAAACTTCTATTCCTTCAGGCATGCCGTGCAAGTATCACTCATGTGTTGTTTGCATGCAAACCTTCTACATTGCGAACAAATTTTACGTGTTGATTTATCACGTTGTCTAGGGCAAATATGACAACGTCCAACAGTGGTTTTTGGTTGATTAGAGGGGGAAGGTGATACCTCCCTAACATTTAGGGTAGCTCGTGCCCGTCGCCTCATATCCACTGGCAGTGACGGGATGGTTGACCGAAATTCTATCTGGGGTCGGATCAGATCCCATGCACAAGTTTGTAAAAAGTCGGACCGTGCGATTCTTTTTTGTGGCGGGTGATTTGCCTTATAGACGCACAATGCGTTTATGCCAGATATGTTGATCAAGTTGTAAAATACCACCATTGGCCAACGACGTGTATTTCTTGCAACATTGTACTTCTGGCATAACTGGTCTACCAGGTCAACACCAATTTTTGTGTGATTATAATCGGCTATGATTACTGGTTTTTTGTCATCACCCGTTTCCTCATCTATTGCATCATCAAAGTGCATGGACGATAACAAAAGCACAGATCTATTTTTTTTTGGGCAGTACGATACCATGGTACAGTCCTTCTGAAAACCAAACAAGGACGATTTCTCTGGTCGATTCTTATTCGGCAAGAATTGTGGAGGGATCTCCCTCTTATTTTTTCGCATAGTTCCGATGTAGGTTAGCTTTTTTTCTTGTAACAGTTTTTTCACCAATGACAAACTGGTAAACCAGTTATCGCCCGTGATATTGCGATTGGTCCCTGCCACTGGATTTACTAATCTGATTACAATGTCTTCGGATGAATTACTGAGCTTATATGGACCCTCTGGTTGTGTTCCAACGTAGGTTTCCAAGTTGAATGTGTATGATGTCTTTGAATCACACAGCGCAAATGTCTTGATGCCATATTTGGCCGGCTTTGATGGAATGAACTGCTTGAATCCACAGCGTCCTCTAAAAGCTAACAACTGCTCGTCAACAGTGAGGTACTCACTGGCAATAAAATTGTTTTGAAAATTCACCAAGAATGTTTCAAATAGTTCTCGAATGGGCGCCAACTTATCTATTTCCTTTCTTTCATCTCTTGTTCTTATGTCATCAAACCGCAAACACCTTATCAGAAATCTAAATCTCTTTTCACTCATCCTAGATAGCAAGCTTCCACTCCACTTCCTTTAGAGTTATCCCAAATATTTTTCAGGTTTTTCCGTGAACTTCTGAGGGTTCCAATCAGAATGAGAATTCCAATGAAAGCTGTAATTTCTCTCTCATCAGTTTGCCTGGCATCTCTGAACCGTTGAAACTTACTTTTGACTTTCATGATATATATGTTGGTAGAAATAGTTATAATTCTTATCACCGTGTCATTTATAAATAGTTTTAGGCAATCAGTTTCACTCCTGGCATTTCGCGCACTACCTTTTGTTCCGGGCAACAATTTTATTATGTTCTGAGACCGAGTACGCACTTGAGTGTTGGATCTACCCTTCTTCCACTTCGTAACTTTGTCTTTTCCCCAGTAAAATGTATCAGCTTCTCCTTCATCGGTTTCTTCTTCCCAATCAGGCTCATCTTGATCTACCTCCGGTATTTCTTGTTCAGACTCTGTCTCATGATGGTCACTTTCCACACACACATCCTCTTCTTTTTCATCCGAGTCTTCCTCATCGAGTGGGCTTTCCTCCCCACTTGATATTTCGTTGAACCATTGCATCCATACTTCAGGATCCCTGCTTGTCTGTACACACCTTCTTTTCGGGTCGGACATTCTGTTTTTATAGATTTCCCTGTAATTCATTGAATAACTGTATGCATATTTACAATTGAAACAGTAACACTTACCTCAAATCAATGAAAACTAGTAAAATCCAAGGTTTGCCTAGCCGAGAAAATATTACGTGATTAGGCGCGCGGGCTACAATTGTAGACCAGCCGATTTTAGGCGCGAAAAACAACAACGACAATACGCCTCAAGCACGCGCATCATACTGATCAAGTGGAGCAAAACAAATAGAACAGCTACTAGCGGGGGCGCTCGCATCTGCATATTTTCTTTGCGTTTCATCACCATTCGAATATCGGTGGGCTACAATCGTAGCCCGCGCGCCTAACGAAGGGTTAACTACGATGTCGTAGTTATAGTTAGTTGATATCTGAACGTCTCCGGAACACAAAACTGGCACTTTAGTATTATTTGCGACGGTGATCTCGGATAAACACGGGGTAAAGTTAGCGTTTTTTATCCAGTCTTTGTTGGCCTTCATATGTGCACTTGCTCCACTATCTACGTACCACTCGTTCCTACTATATTTACCATTTAAGAATACCACACTAAAAGCATTTGATTGTTTGTTTTTCTGTAACAATGGACACTGGTTTCGGTAATGACCCGTTTGTTTACACTTGTAACAAGAAATGATCTTGTCACTCTTGTCACCTGTCACTCTGCTAGATGACATCGCGCCATTTTTAGATGAACGCTAATATATTGATTTTTATGTTAACTTCTATCACTTACAATTTTTTATTCATTCATTTTAGATAAACATGGACCTAAACAAGATAAATGAAATTGCAGCTACGGGCTACACGAGTAATCCTAAAAAGAGCCTGTACGAGCTACCGCTTAACCAATACCAGATACTTTCATTAAGAATCGTACAAGGACGTTTTGGACAGGTGCCGTTGGTAGAGCTACAAAATAGTGTTTCTACCAGGGAGAGCGACAGAAGTGATCATCGAAAACCTAGAAAATTTCACTCCGGGACGTTACGCAATTTCGTATACAGGCAGCGAGGCCAGCTCTTTCGGAGACAATCAAGTTCACCATTTTAAGTAAGAACACTACTTGTATTATATGCTAAGATTACCCAGCTACCCGTACTAGTACTCAGGTGCTGGGGAGAAGCTCAATTTTGGCCGAAGTACATTTGGAAATATCTGAGTAACGAGTATACATTTTTTTAAAAGTCAAACAAAATAGAAGTGTTTAGTTTTGTTCTGGAAGCTCGCCTCTTTTTATAATGGTGGGGCTACATTAGCGGGCGAAGATTCGTGTCGTGTTGGCGCGAAAAACATCGTGTATCGGGCATACACGATGTTCTTGTCTACATTTAGCGGCGAAGATTCATATAACGGACTGCGACGATTATTCGTTTGTGTGTTGTTTAGCCGTGCGGACGAAAATATGGAGGAAGCAGTAGCGTTGCATTATATGTCAGTAAATTATTATTATTTATTACACTTGTACGGGTATCAGGTACAAAGTAATATGAATAAGAGAAGAAGGAGGAGATGGTGGATGACTACTATTCATAGAAACCGAACGATGTAAGTGTGCAGCACAATTTTTACAACACGTCACGCTAAAATAATACTTGATATAATGTTTCTATTTTGCCTTTTTCTGCATTAGACCTTAAGTGGTGTGAGTATATAATAATAATTTTTACATTTTTTTCTTATTTACAGAACAGGAATGGAACGTTTGTTATCTGAGCTAACCGCAGAGTCCGGTATAGAATTCCCTGGATTTTTACGTATGTCGACATCTGACTTTGAAATACTACTACAAAAGCTCGCACCACTAATCACCAAAAAAGATACAAAATTCAGAAAAGCAATTCCTGCAAAAGTGCGATTGGCAATAACACTACGTTATCTGGCGACAGGAGATGATTTTCGAAGCCTTCATTATCTTTTCAAAATATCTCATCAACTCATTTCCAAAATAGTACATGAAGTGTGTGCAAGTATTTTGATCGTTTTGAAAGACGAAGTTATGGTAAGAAAAATACAATATTTTACTCATAGTTCAGTTTATTTCACTAAGTGCCTATAGTCTAAGCAACATGTACCTTTATGGAGTTTTTCTTTTCGATTATTAATAACAAAATAAACATTTTTCTATTCTCATTCCTATTAAAAAAAAGGTATACCATCCATAAAAAAAACTACAAAACAACTACATTTTCATATGAATACTATATCACCAGTCTCCGATATAACGAATTGTGATGTTTTCTGAGATGGCATGGTTTGGTTCTGCGATGGCGATGGATGGATCGGAGACTGGTACGTTTGGGTCGGTGGTGATGGAGATGGTGATGATTGATTTGAAGAGTGATATGTGTGGTTCTTTGGTAACTGAGATGGTGATGGATGAGTCGGGGACCGGTAGGTTTGATTCTGATGTAACGATGAATGGATTTGGGAGTGATATGGATGAGTTGGGTGAACCCGATCTATCATGCCTGCGTTTATAACCATGCTATGGATATCATTCATAAGAATGTCTCTGGTATTTGGGTTTTTAAGTTTTCTTATTTTAGCAGCAATCAGTTTCCCAAACATTTCATATTCGTCGTTGACACTGCCTTTCACGTGCTCAAATGCCTCTTGCATTTGTCTCTTCGCATGTAATATTTCTGAAGGAAAATCAATTTTCGCTCGCTTATTTGTTATGTTTGAATTAATCGGAGGAGTTGGAGTTGAGTCTTCTTCACTACGACTAACTGTAATCCCTTCATGTTCATCGTCACGTTCTGCATGCTCTTCCCGTACACTTTCATTCTGAAATAATAATAAAATTTGTTTCAGATGCCTTCAAACGAAGAAGAATGGCTACAAAAAGAAACTGAGTTCCATGATATCTTTCCACATTGTATTGGAAGCATTGATGGAAAACACGTGCAAATTTTATCACCCATTCACAGTGGAACTGAATTTTATAATTATAAACATACATTTAGCATTGTCCTCATGGCTTTGGTAGATAAGAAATATCGGTTTCTGTATGCAGATGTTGGTTGCCAAGGGCGAATTAGTGATGGTGGAGTGTTTAGAAATACCGCATTATTCGAAAGATTAGAAAGAAATGCTCTAAAGATACCAGCTCCTTCGGTGCTTCCCGGTACTGATTTCATCATGCCGTTTGTATTTGTAGCGGACAACGCGTTCCCGTTACAAACACACATCATGAAGCCATACCCTGGAGATCATCCAGAAGGCAGTATTAAAAGAAAATTTAACACGCAACTGTCAAAAGCCCGTATAGTTGTAGAAAATGTGTTTGGAATTATGTCTGCGGTATTCCGCGTACTTAGGAAGCCGATTGCACTCCAACCAGATCGCGCCTCTAATGTTGTAATGTCTTGTATATTACTACACAACTTCTTAAGAAACAGTTCATCTTCAAATAATATATATATACCACCAGGTTTTGCGGACACTATTACAAATGGACAAGTAGTTCCAGGTACATGGGGAAATGAGCAACAAGAAGAAACTGCGTTGCGCCCTTTTCCAGCGGTAGCTAGACGGAGCGGTCTTTTACCTACACAGATCAGGGACCAGTTCGCTCAATATTTTTTCAGTCAATAAAAATAGTCTAAGCAACAAAAAAAGCAAAACTCCCATTTTCTTTGTTTTTACATTGTTTATAACTTTTGCACTTTTTATCAGTGCCTTTTCGAATTTTTTCTTAAACTTTCTACATATTTTTCCGAATCAAATGACACCTTCATCGTAATTTTCGGAGACTATACTCAGATTTCACCCAAAAAGCTACATGTTGCTTAGACTAAAAGTATGTTTTTATTTTTGTGAAGTCACACTGTGGAATGTGAATAAATATAAGATATAATAAATAGGCGTGTTTCATTATTTACCTGTGTATCGATAGTCCGGCGACAATCATATATTGGCTGAAGAAAACTGTTCATAGCCGAAAAGCCGAACCAATTTGTTTGATATATGTCGTCGGTGCCAGCGCCTGACCTCATTGATTTCTTTATTTTATTGAGATGAGCTCTGTAGTACGACATCAAAGAATCTTTTTTCCTCTTCATTTCTTCTATTGTGGTAGGCCAACTGAGCCTATTTTGAATTCTCGTCCACGCATCATGTACCAAATGCTTCTTTTTGTGGTCTGGGTTACTAGGATTCCATATAATATTTTCTGTTTCATAAAACTGAATGAACTCCAACACTTTTTCGTTATTCCACTCCATCGTACAGTGTACAAAACACCTAGGCCAAATATAGTTTATCTCTGCAAAACATACGCACGTCCGTCTCGCTTCAAAGTCTGGACGACCCTGAAGTAACGCAGGTGTAGCCAGACATGCGAATATTGTCGCGATAAGTCCCTTTGATGCGTGCTAGTTTACCGACAGCGACCCGATGTTACGTCGTCTTCGCCCGAATACACCGCGTTGTAACGATGTACCCGGCCACACACATCGCCGTAGCCCGAATATTCGCCGTAGCCCGCTAATGTAGCCCCAGCATTAGAATAATAACCCCCACAACAATGGAACCTGTAGTGCCAGTTGAAATCTCATGCCCATACAAGGAAAAACACCTAGTGTCGTCGAACCTCATGCGATGGCACATACACCGCTGCCCCTATCAGTACTCAGGTGCTGCGGAGAAGCTCAATTTTGTACATTTGGAAGTATCTGAGTAGTATTATTTTTTCATTTTTCTTGGCTTCAAACTATTGTAACTTCTGTGCTATGATTATATCGGATTTCATTTCTTTGTAGACGGTGCCGGCATACCTGCTGCCGATGCTGCAACAATGTCTCAGGGGCCTGAGACGTTGGATCAGAGTACGGTGCGGTATGGCGAGACGCTGTTTGAGTGTTTTTCTAATGGTCAATCATCGATTTTTTTAAATTTTCGTAATGATATTACTGGCACGAAACTCCAAATGTAAAAGTAACAGCCCCATTCATAAAGTTCGTACTTTATATTCGTTGGAACTGTAAGGCGCGAATTACACTGAAAAGGCGTAAGGTGAAGGCGCGGCGCAGACGCAGAGCAGGCGTGGCACAGATAAGGCACGGATGCGATTTAAATTATATCAAAGAGGCGAAGAGATGGCACAACAAGTCATTACATAGGGTGACTTTATCGTGATAGCATGTCTTCCTCTTCAGACGACGAAGATGCGTTGGCTTTGCTGCAACTCATTAATGTGCAGAGACACCGAAGATATTGGGTGCACCCTGTGTGGAGAATGTCACAAGAGCATAGATATTTTAAAATGATGGAAAAATTATGCGAATATCCTGATCGTTTTCCTACAGTGTATAAAATGTCACTAGAATGTTTCCACATTGTATTGTCGAAAGTGAGACACGGTCTTCAGAAGAAGCATACAAATTGGAGAGAACCGATCTGTCCTGAAGAAAGACTATTGATAACATTAAGGTTAGTAAAAAATCTTTGGCATTTTTATATACTTTTATTTGTTTGATGTTTGAGTAGAAAACTGGACTAAGATTTGACAATCAGGAGGACTTGTTTGCTATCTATCAATACCAGAGATCGGAATTGGGTGTGTGAAAGAAAATACCTAAAGTTTTCAGCAGGGCATAACATGGAGTACAACCACTTAATTTGAACCGGTTTTGAATATTACCAGTTCAGTTTCGGTTTTTTTGTTTTACATGTTCCTTAACTTTGAAACACCCAACTATAAACTAAACTATGTAAAGAACGAGTAGAACTAAAAAACCGAATTTGAACCGGAAAAGTTCAAAACCAAAATTATTTTAAAACTGTATTAGCGGGAAGATGTAAAACAAAAAAGCTGAAACTGAACCGGTAAAATTCAAAACTGGTTCAACTTAAGTGGTTGTAACAGTTCCATATTATGTCCAGCTGCAAAGTTTAGGTATTTTCACACACCCAATTCCGATCTCTGATCATTACCGCAAAAATTAATAATTGGAATCATTCACATCACCATCGTGAGGTTGACTTTCTGCTTCAATTCTTTGGTGTGACGGAGGTGAAACCGAAGTAACTGGAGAAAACAATGGCAAATAAATTTGAGTGCCAGCTCGCTGAGGTGACCGACCTCTGTAAGCACCACTTGTTTGCATCTGCTGAAGTGTTGGATCTCCATATGCGCCAGTCGTTTGTGTCTGCTGAAGTGTCGGCTGTATCTGCTGAAGTGTCGGCTGTGTCTGCTGTAGTGTCAGACCTCCGTATCCGCTAGTTGTATGTGTCTGCTGAAGTGTCAGACCTCCATATGCGTCAGACGTATGTGTCTGCTGATGTGATTGATTTCCATAAGATCCCGTTGGACTTCCATAAGATCCCACATTTGCAGGTGAATTATACTCTGACTCCCGTGATGGAGTTCTTTGGTAAGGAGTTATACTTCTCGGACATGAAATACGACTAGTGATTGGCTCTTTTAGAATTTGTTCAATTAAATTAAGTACGCCCAATTTCAATTTTCGTTTTTGGTCTTGATTCATTGTTTGCACATCTGGCATCATGCTGCGGAAAAAGGCCATGTCGGCGTCTGAATCGTCCTTATTTTTTACTTTTGTTCCTTCGTCCATATTTTGTTGTCGTGCAATTATTTGTTTATTTTTTAGGGTGAAGTATTCGTGCGCTGTCTTATTAACATCACTTATACGAATCTGTTTATTTTTTGGTGGCGGCTGTGTATGTTGTGGCGTGATAAAATCAGTCGCCTGCCGTTCACCTGCAGGTGAGCCAGCAGACATGCATGTCAAATCGTCTTCATCTTCGATTCGGTCTGCATCGTTCCCCAAATTGCCTTTAGAGGGTCGGGATTTTAAAAAACTGTCTAGGAAACGCAAGTTTGGTGCAAGGTAGTACTCTTTAGGTGTTTTCGCAGCAGATCCAGATGGAGCACTCATGTTTCTCTTATTCTTTGAGTAACTACATCTGATGTTCTTCCATCGGTCTTTGCAGTCTTTAGCTGAAACAAAAACCAATAATTTTATTCGATGATATAATACCTATTGTTGTTTTGTATAACAACTTCGACTGGGCGCTTTCTACTCATCAATACGAACAACTTTTACTATGGGAGCAGCTTAAAAATCTTTGAAAAAAACAGCTGTTCTATATACATTTTGTTCAGTAGGTATCAAATTTTAGCATGGAACAGCTGTTTTTCTAAGATTTTTCAGTTGGTCCCATAGTAAAAGTTGTTCGTATTGAAGAGTAGAAAGCACCCTGAGTTGGGTGCTGTTTTACAAATCAACACACAGTAAATTAAATTATTATTTGTAAATGAATAGATGTATCTATCTATATACTATTATTTTTAACATCCGACGCATGAAAGGGATGGATGATGGATGTGATGTAAGAAAGTGTCACCAGACAATTACATGAATACAATACTGTCGTGTGCGAAAGGGCTTAAGTTTCATTTTTGGTCAAGCGCGATTCAGTTTCGTGTACATATTATAACTATATTTTTTTTGTTACAGATACTATGCAGATGGATGTTCGTTTAAATCGCTTTCTACATATGTTCAGAGAGGCAGCACTACCGTTCAAAAAATCGTACAAGAAACTTCACGTGTACTGTGGGAATATTTACTGCCGGAATATATGCCAATACCTACAACACAAAAATGGCTTGAAGTTGCTCAACGTTTTTACACTTTATGGAATTTACCAAATTGCGTAGGAAGTATAGACGGAAAGCATATAAGAATTAAAGCACCCAAAAATTCTGGCTCAGCTTACATAAACTATAAAGGATATTTCTCTATCGTATTGATGGCAGTAGTAGATGCAGATGGCCTGTTTTTAACTATAGACGTCGGCGAATATGGCCGAAACAGTGACGGGCGTGCATTCCAAGTTAGTTACTTTGGGCAAGCTATGGAACAAGGAAACCTCAATTTACCACACCCTACTCCATTGCCTGGAGAAACGAATATGGTGCCCTATTATTTTATTGCTGATGAAGCTTTTCCTCTGAAGAAAAACTTAATGAAACCGTATGGCCGAAATCAGTTAACAAATGAGAGAAGAGCATTTAATAACAGATTGTCAAGGGCACGAAAATCAGTGGAATGTGCCTTTGGTATGATAAGGACTAAATTTAGCGTCCTTAGCACATCTGTTTGCTGCGATCCAGAAAATGTCGATAGCATTATAAAAGCTATGAGCGTTTTGCATAATGTTATCCGCAAATATGATGGGAAACTCGTGGTTCCACGTTTTAATAACAGTTTAATAGGAACAAACATCAACGTGCAACAAACAAGGGAAGATCCTAAAATCATCAGAGAATATCTTACAACATACATGACAACTCGATCTCCGATTCCATTTCAAAATAGACATAATTAATAAATAAAAATAAAGTACTTACCTGTTGCACCTAGTTTTAATCCTATTTCTCTCCATATTTTGTCTTGTATATTTTTATTAGAGTACTCCGGCTTATTATAATCGTAAAGAGCTGGATATTGTTCAACTATCTCGCAGAACTGTAAGTTAAATTCACTATCGTCACGCATTTTTGCTCCTCCTGTATAACAAACGACGTATTGCTTGCGCAGCACTCCAGTCGCGACTGCTAGCGACGCGGAACAGGTGACGAAACGACGTGCCTGCGCCACGCCGCATGAGTATAATTCACAACGTGTCGCCTACCTACATTTTGTATTGAAAACCTTTGAAGCGCCAAGATGCCTGCGCCGCGCCTTCACCTTACGCCTTTTCAGTGTAATTCGCGCCTAAGTGATCTCAGCTAGCGCTTAATAGCCTAGTCAGTTAGGCCGCACCTCCAGTATAGAGGATAGTTGCGATGCTTTCGGTGGTTCGTCCAGAGATAAGTGACCTAGCTTAGACCATGCTGATTTGTATCCAAGAAGCACAGAACAGCTGTTCAAGGGTTGGTTGTCTTAAGTCGGAAGGACCAAGGCACCATGTTTAGTTTATTGTGGACCATAACTCCTTCACATCCAGGATCATCAGCCACCTAGCGGTCACATGGTGACAGGTCTATTAAACGCGAGCTGAGATTCCTAACAATTCCAACTAACTACTACTGCAAGACAAATTTAGACTGATTTTAAATTTAAGTAAAACAATCCTTATCTCATTTTATTTGTTTGTTAATTTTTATAGGTTCTTTTTTAGGTAGGTAAGTTGTTGTGTATTCTCTCTAGTTCTCTACTAGCCAGTAAGCACTCCTACATGTAACTACATTCAAATGTGTTTGCAAAAGTTTAAATAAATATACAGGGTGTTTCAGTTTGTTGTTGCATAACTTTAAGATTCGATAGAACTTTTAAAATTAATGCATAAAGTCTATATAAACATGGGTCGGAAAATGCGTGGCTTCCGAAATACAGGGTGTTTAAATTTAGTTTCGAAAATAGTTTTTTTTTAAATATTTCGAACGATATTTGATGTATAACAGTGAGAATTGGTATACAAGGGTTTTTTGGTACGACAAAACGAACCGTGGGCATAGTTTTACTGTAGCCGCTAGAGGGCGCTCTCTACTGTACCTGTAGTGTATTAAAATGACCGAAACATTTTTCTTAGTGCAATTTTTTGCTTTTTGAATAAAAAAACTGATTCTTCGCACTTTTCAACATAAAAAAGCTCTCCTGCGAGTTTTCGTTATAGTTAGCCGTTTTTGAGATATTTCGATTTTTAAGGTTCGATGCATTTTTAATTATTTATGGGAAAATAATATTTTGTTTACATTTTCGATTTGGGCATTACAAGTAATTAAGATGATCGTTTAGATTGTGTTTTTAAACACAGCAATAATTCCTAACTCCAAATAAACACAAAAAAAACAATATTAATTTGATTAATTTTCCAATATTATTTTTAACAAATTAAATTAATTATTTACAGCTAAAATGCTATTGGATAGTTAGGACAAACATACAAAATCTAAAGTAGTTGTTTGAAATGTAAACCCAACTGTTCAATACACAATTCACATCTACGAATGATCGAACATGGTATAGCATTATTCAAATAAGGCCTTATTTCATCACTTGCATTCCTGATTCTGTCTATTAGCATATCTCTTGTGGTTACGGGAGTCCAGTTCACTTTTTTTTTTAGAAATCCCCACACAAAGAAATCTAATGGATTTAGGTCAGGGGATCGTGGAGGCCAGGCGACTGGTCCTCCATGGCCGATCCATCTTTCTGGATAATTTTCGTCGAGCCAGTTTCTAACTATTCTCGAATAATGAGCTGGACAACCATCAAGCTGGAACCAGGCCAATCTTCTTAAATCTAACATAACATCATCCCACATATTTGCATGTTCAGCCTTTAAAAATTCCAAGAAGGTCGCAGCATTTAACCTTGCAGGCAAAAGGTAGGGTCCAAATAGTCGATTACGGTAGATACCAATCCACACGTTCACACTAAATTCATGCGGAAAATTTCTTTCCCGAACTGCATGCGGATTTTCATGCGACCAAATATGTTGATTATGAAAATTTACCATTCCACGTCTAGTGAAGCATGACTCATCGGTCCATAAAACGTTACTTAAAAACTCCCTATTATTATCAGTTCTATCAAGAATCCACTGACAAAATGTGATTCTTCGTTCTCCGTCCCCTGGCTGTAGTTCTTGCACAGGTTGCAAATGGTAAGGACGTCTATGGTCATTTCTAAGAACACGGTGAACATGGCTTGCTGAAATTCCCAAGGCACCAGAAACTCTCCTAACACTTGTGGTCCTCTATCAAACTCACGCAGAATCATACGGGTAAATCTGCGCTGATGAACATTTATGTTTTGATCCCTTTGGAGATTTCCAAAACCATTTTCAATTATTTAGCGATGTACTCTTACAAATACTGAGCGAGTTGGATGTCGTCTGTTTGGAAATATTCGTGCGTATTCTCTGGCTGCTTCTGCTGCGTTTCCATTTACAAAGCCATACACAAAATGAATATCGGCTAACTCTTGATTGGAGAATAAAAATGGCATTTTTATAAAACTTACAAAAAAAACAAGTAAAAGAAACTAAATTTCGTGCATTCACAATTGAAAAAAAACGTTTTAGGCTTCAACAGACAACAAAACTAACTGTCAACTAATTAACGTTTAACCTTATTCTGCTTTCAATTTCAAAAATATTTGCAGGCACAGCCTACTTCTAAAAATTATCGAGATACTGACTTTTTAACGTTATTTTATCATTAATAATTAAAAATGCATCGAACCTTAAAAATCGAAATATCGCAAAAATGGCTAACTATAACGAAAATTCCCAAGAGAGCTTTTTTATGTTGAAAAGTGCGAAGAATCAGTTTATTTATTCAAAAAGCAAAAAATTGCACTAAGAAAAATTTTTCGGTAATTTTAATACACTACAGGTACAGTAGAGAGCGCCCTCTAGCGGCTACAGTAAAACTATGCCCATGGTTCGTTTTGTCGTACCAAAAAACCCTTGTATACCAATTTTCACTGTTATACATCAAATATTGTTCGAAATATTTAAAAAAAAAAACTTCGGAAGCCACGCATTTTTCGACCCATGTTTATATAGACTTTATGCATTAATTTTAAAACTTCTATCGAATCTTGAAGTTATGCAACAATAAACTAAAACACACTGTATAATAGCAGCTATGCGCTTTCCGATTCTGGGGCCTGATTCAAAACGAGTTTCGACCATTGGAATTGATTTCGTTAACACCTTGTGACAACATACTTGATTTGGCATGATAATTTGAATATAGACGATCGATATAAGCAGATATCAAAATTATTATAGCGAATCGAGTATATAGTCATAAGGAGCAATCGAAATCAATTTCAACGGTTGAAACTCATTTCGAATCAGGCCCCTGGTGTGATAGATGGCGCGCTTTACACTGTCTTATTTTGCCTATACATATTATATTGTTTTTCAGCTGAAGAGATACTGATAAAAACCAACCCTACTGCTGTAGAGGACACCGCAAATGCGGGTTGGACACGTCACACTGGGTGAGGCCGCAAACCACTTGGTAAAATGTCGCAAGCAACAGCACCAACAGCGGAGACAGAGGCAAATGGACCACAGGCAAGATCATCATCAGCAGTCGGACCAGCTGTACCAAGAGCGCCAGCAGTAACACCTGGACTCAACCTGCCATGCTGGAAACATCGGGTAGGGAGAAGTAGTCGACCAGGCTAAGGTATGTACCAGTTAACATTTTCTAAATTTTATTTTATCCACAGAACGTTGAAGTCATACTCAACGTCATATTTTCTATACTTATATATCTCGTCAATCAATACAAACCCATTGTCAGATATGATGACTAATATAATTTTTTTCCTGATTCAGAAAACTGGGACAATACCATTTATGAGATCTACCGAGCCCAGCTACTTGGAAGAGCCATATTAAGAAATCCGGCACCGTTTCTGTCAGGAAACGAAAGAAAACACCGGAGGAACAGTGAAGTGGCTAGATTAAGGAGTTTCGAATATATTCAGAAATCAAGGTGTCTAGGTTAGTTTATAAAAACAAGATCCAAAAAATAATCTGTATTTTTATTGATACAACCATTTCAAACCTATATCAACTGCGTGAGTAGAACACAATCTGAGAGACACGTCAAAAGCTTTGTCAAGGGGGTCGACTTTTTAAAAAACTACTTGGCCCCTCTTTAACCTCTGCCATCCTCTTAAAAATTTTAAATGACAAGGAGTATCGAGTAATAGCTTGTTTGGAAGGTCTTTCGAAGTCCTTTATTTTGACATTTGATTTTTTAAAACTGTTCAATGCGTTTTCAAGAAAATTAGGAAAATCTTCATTTATCTTAATTTTTTAATTTTTAACAAAACAAAAACACACGAAAATATCACTTTTTATAAATAAACAACAAATAACTAAACAGGTATAACAATAAATACAGTTCGCCCAGGCTATCTGTGTTGATGAAAAGAATGCGGAAAAAAATCGGGTTGTTATTTTGTTGCTGACAAACCCTAACGGGCAACATTTTGAACGCTTATTGAAATAAAAAGTGATATTTTCGTGTTTTTGGTTCCTATCTGAACAAGCTAAGATAAAGATTTTTCTAATTTTCTTGAAAACGAATAGATCGAATTAAAAAAATCAAACGTAAAAATAAAGGATTTCGAAATGCCTTTCAAACCAGCTGTTATTGGATACCCCTTGTCATTTAAAACTTTTAAGGGGCTGACCCTGGGGGCATAGGGTAAACGGCGGTGAAGTAGTTTTTGGTTAAAAAGTTGTCCCCCTTGATAAATCTTTTGACTTGTTTCGGCGTTTTTTCTTTTAATCAGTGGTTTTCGATAAATCCGTGATGGGAACTTTTTCAAATGAATATATACAGGGTGACTTTGAAGTTGAGTCATTAATTTTCAGATAATGATTGTAGAAGGAAGATAAACCAAAATATGTGTGTAAAAATAAAAAAAAATTTTTACCTTGTTTTATAAAGTATCCTCCCGACAAGTATTTCAGTGCGGACCTGTATTTGATCGTGAGGTCCCCTGTGAGGTCTTAAGTCACCTGATTCACGAGCCCGTTGTACTACATTAACAAAGGCACGAAGGGTTGGTTGCACTCGATTGGGAAACCGATCCGCATAAACATGTGCCATTTTTTTATTTCGTTTGAGCCACGCAACAGACACTATTCACACGCGTTACCGACTGATACAGACTGTATGTATAACTGAACTGAATAAAATAATTGTAAAAACATCGTTCCAAATTCTTTCGCTTTTTTGTTTCCGATGCGATGAACCGATAAGGCGGATTATATCCGTTGTTGCCAAACACGAGCACATGATATTATTATTGAGACAGGGCGGTACTCAAACTTCCAAAGGGCTATAACTTTGTTACTTTAATTTTACCAGAAAAATGGTAAAGGAAAAAAACATTTCTTTTGATCAGATCTACTCACTGTTAAAATAAATGACTCAACTTCGTATATATATAGAATAATTATTAGTTACATACTTTTGCATCAGAGCGGAAAATTTGCTGTTGTAGAGCTCCGATCCATTGTCCGTTTGTAGGTTCTTAGAGCGGTAGGTGGCAGTTTGTAGAATATCACCCATTGCAATAGTTACGGTTACCATATCTTTCTTTTTAACTTGTCTACATATATATCGATCATGCTCCTCACTGAAAGATTGCATTTCCGCCAAATCAGCTGCCACAAGTCAACAAAAAAAGTTTCTGATCGATCAGTGTTTTTATGGCGTTGAAGAGTTTCTTATACAGGGTGACTTCGAAGTTGAGTCATTTATTTTAACAGTGAGTAGATCTGATCAAAAGAAATGTTTTTTTCCTTTACCATTTTTCTGGTAAAATTAAAGTAACAAAGTTATAGCCCTTTTGAAGTTTGAGTACCGCCCTGTCTCAATAATAATATTATGTGCTCGTGTTTGGCAACAACGTATATAATCCGCTTATCGGTTCATCGCGTCGGAAACAAAAAAGCGAAAGAATTTGGAACGATGTTTTTACAATTATTTTATTCAGTTGTATACAGTCAGTGCAGTCGGTAACGCGTGAGTGAATAGTGGTGTCTGTTGCGTGGCTCAAACGAAATCAAAAATGGCACATGTTTACGAAAATGCTGAACTTGTGGACACGATTCTTATTTACGCGGCATCACGGATTTATGCGGATCGGTTTCCCAATCGAGTGCAACCAACCCCTCGTGCTTTTGTTAATGTAGTACAAAGGGCTCGTGAATCAGGTGACTCAAGACCTCACAGGGCAGGGCATGCCGGTGCTCCAAGTCCGCACGATCAAATACAGGTCCGCACTGAAATACTTGTCGGGAGGATACTTTATAAAACAAGGTAACATATTTTTTTTATTTTTACACACATATTTTGGTTTATCTTCCTTCTACAATCATTATCTGAAAATTAATGACTCAACTTCAAAGTCACCCTGTAGGTACTGGTGTTTGAAGTGTGGATAATTCACTGTTGTTTTACTACATTGTTATTTTGTCCTTAGTTTAAGCTGCATTGACAATTTCTAGATGTTTTTGAAACATCAACAGGAAAATAAAGAATTTGTATTTGAAGTTGGCCCTGAATATCGGCACTAACGAGAGAGGGAGTAAAGGTTATGGGTAATCGCTTAATGGCAAACGTTAACGTTTATCTTGTCTGACATTTATCATGCTGCTAATAAAACGTAGGTCGTATGTCGAACGTTATCCATGTCATGGACATGTCGTGGTGGGCAGAATAACGGACAGAACAGAAGTTATAGGTAATGCCTTCAAGACATACAAAAACGCGTTATCCTTGTCATTTATATATCATGTCATTGACGTAAATGTCAAGGTTAACGTTATCGTTTAAGTATGATCTGAAGTCAGCACCCATAATTCTATGAATCGAAGTAATTCTAGTATATTTTATTCCCTATCAGATACATTTGCCGCAAGACTTTTCAGCGCCATCTGCATGACACCCTCCTTAGTCTTATTTCCGGCGATAAATCCTGTGGCATGACAGAATATGCAACCTTTTATCCCCGCTATATCGCTCAGCTCCTCATCTCTGACGCCTCTCCAATCCTTGTGGAGAAACACTCTGAAAGTAGAAAGAATACTGCTAACCGCACGGGTATTACGTAAAGAACCTATAAAACGTCAAAAAAAAAGCCTATAAAATGTCATCTTGCAGACTAGATAGTTTTTAGGGTGCGAACAGTCATTCCACGTTTGCTCACTAGGATCGTTGTGAGCGTCCATCTATGGAGGAATGGCTCAACTACACGCATTGTTGGTTGCATATGTTTTGTGAAGCCGAATAGTCTGTAGTTTTCATCTCTGAGAAAAAAATTGGTTGAATAGCAAGATCACATCTGGATGATTGATTGTGCATATTGGTCTGCATCAGTGATATTTGCTGTGTGAGAGAATCATTACTGAATTTGCTGCCAATGAAGTATATCTTTAGCTGTGCCCGACGGGTTATGTTATCAATTACGATTTTCTACGTTTTTTGTGATTTCAAAAACTTTGAGGAGAATTACTGGAAATCACCGCCATGCCTGCGTTGTGAGTAATTACTTTTAGCATGTATATGACTTGTAATTCGTCAGTATACAGTGAATATAATTTCTTATTTCTCTCATTTTTTAAATGTAGCAAATTTGCATATGTAATTTCCAGAATGGATAAGAAAAAGTGGATGCGCAACTAATTTCTAGCTTTGAATCTCAAGTAAGTGTATTTGAGACAAGAATCCAGTGGAATCAACACATATTGTTATCATACAAATCCTCACTATGAACCTATGCATTGCCGTTACCTCCAGTAATGCCATCTCTGAATCAGATTTTACATCACATCAACGTATCCATCAGCTAGTGCTAAGTTAACATCTTGTAGAAAAACATACATGTCACAAAAAACCAATGTCAAAAATTAATCGACATAATATCACTTACGTAATACCCGTGCAGTATCGTCAGTCGATCCTACAATTGTAGGACGCCTTTATGGCTTCCTTGATTTTCATAGTTTTCTACTGTTCAGTGTCAGCGGTCTATTTTGAGGTTATATTACAAATATCTGTAAGCATCAATTTGTGTTGATTTATACTATCTGGATTGTCAGCCTGAAATTTTCTACAATTAAAAAACATAACCTCACAATAGGAGAGAGCAGACACTGGACACGGAACAAGTGAAACCTAGAAATACCTCAGCCTTTCTGAAGGAGGGAAAACACTATGAAAATCAAGGATGTCATAAAGGCATCCTACAATTGTAGAAACGACTGACGATACGGCCCTAATTCATTGAGCCCCCTCCATACAACTATCAAAGTGCAGCAAAAAAATATTTATACCACGAGAAGAAAATTTGTGGGGTGGGGTGGGGTATGATACAAAAAAAACTAGTCACATCTTACATGAATACGTAAGATTTGACTAGTTTCCAACATATGGGAGAATAGGAAACAAAGCGGTATTGCCAGGCCACAACCTGACAACACTGTTGCATCCACAAACAATGGCGGACTTGACAAGCATGACGTTTTTTGCTGTTCGCGTTTTGAGAATTAACTTTCGGTTAGCAGTAAGTTTACAACTTGCGACTGAAAAATAAAAAACCTGTAGTTTTAGCAAAAGAATATTCGGAAACAATATATCGTGTACTATTTAGAACCAATGAATTCGGACTAGGTAAAAGGATCCAGTCAAGGATTTGATTATCTTCTAATTCTCATACTCTGTAATGAGGCTCCAAGCTCAATTGTTTGATACTACTGTCATTAAATTCGTATGCTTAGTGTTATTCTTTAGAAGTATGGGGTTGTCCAAAACGTGAAATGTATGAAAAATAATATCGCTCAAATGTTCACCACGACTGGATTTACAGACGTCCACGCGATGGTCGAAATTTTCAATGACATTTTGCAACATGGTCGGTTCTATGGCATTTATCCCGGCAATGATGTTGTTTTCGAGTTCTTGGAGGGTGGCTGGTTTGTTGACGTAGACTTTGCTTTTCAAATATCCCCATAAAAAGAAGTCCAAGGGAGTCAAATCGCACGATCTTGGTGGCCATGGCACATTTCCTCTGCGCGAAATCACGCGATCACCGAAGAAGGACTGCAATTGATGGATATTGACGTTGGTTGTGTCGCATGTTGTCTTGTTGGAAATAAACATCGTTCCTTCAAGTTGCGGCAAAAAATAGTCCTCTATCATCACGTGATATCGCTCAGAATTGACGGTAACGGCGTCCCCGGCCGCATTTTCGAAAAAGTAAGGTCCGATGATGCGTGTACATTCAAATCCTTGTGGAGAATGCGGAGCAAACTGGTTCTCGAAATGCCCAATTCTTGGGATCGACGCGTTGTTGATCGTTTCGGATCGTCTCTCACACTCTCCTTCACAACAGCAATATTTTCCGGCGTGCGAACGCTCCTTGGCCGGCCAGAACCTGGCAGATTTGCCACAGAACCTGTTGCCTCGAATTTACGCACCAGACGACCGATGATTGTTTCGTTTGGGCGGTTGTTGCGACCGAAATGTTCACGAAGCGCGCGAAACGTGTTTTTTATTTTTGCACCATTTTTGTAGTGCTCTTGAATAACTTTAATGCGGTCTTCAATCGAATACGACTCCATAGCGATCAATGGTAAACATTCAACTAACAAAATGACATGTCGGTGATAGAAAACAAAGATGGCGTCTATGTCAAATTGACGTTTACTTTCCTGCGTCCCTATTGGACAACCCTTTACAAGGGTCTGCAGATAACTGTTGTGTTAGACGATACTTCTTATATAATTTGCTAATAGCCGCACAAGCCTAACAAAGGTAGATCTTTTCACCAGTAGGTATTAATATTCTGTTGATACAACGCTGTCACTTTGGTAGATAAAGCTAGTCAAATGATTCAAAAGGATGCACTAAAGCAGCTACTGGCAGCTCGCAAAGGCAATTCTGGTGGCCCACAACATATTTTAAAAAGGTGTAAAAATCATAGAAGCTTCGGTAATATTTGTAAACTCTCATAATAAACGCAAGCAGCGGCAACACTGCGGTGAGCGATCTGTTCGAGAACGATCTCGATTACTTTGAACGGAATAAATACGCAAGGCAGTGCGCTCAGTTTAAAACTGAGCGGCTGTGTTAGAGTTGACCTGCAATTAAAACATCATAAGCAGCTGTAAGAAGATGAAGACATACCATTTCCATACGGAATGGGAAGAACAAGCAATGTAAACATAAACGAATTCGTTGGACCTCATAGAGACAAACTAACCCAGATATGCAATCACAGACCTAAAAAACCTCATCGTACTGACAATTGTATAAATGACGTAGAAATCGTATTTTTGACAGCTCTTCAGCGAAACGACTCACCTGCAAATAAAACTGTCGGGCTGTAATGGAATTCCTTGCACTCTCCAAGATTCGCCTTTGTCGTGGTAGATGCAAAACTTTATTTCTCCAGCTATTCCCATTTCTTCTTCAAGTGATAGCAAGTGATCCTTCCAAGGGCACCTGCAAACATCAACAGATCTGATTCTGGTTAATTTCCACACTGTATGAGGGTGTCTTCGCTTGTTAAATCAGGTAAGTAAGGTAAGTAAAAACTACGTTGATTCAGACGCACTTAAATGTAAATGAAAATGTAACAGATTGCTTAAAATGGTCGAAAATATTTTTACGCTCATATTTTTAAACTAAGCTTTTATACGAAATTATTTATTACAAACATACCTAGACCAAGCTTCAAAGAGACAAAATGCTTTTGATGAAATTTGGTAATACTTTTCTTCGCATACGATGGGGAAAATTTGCAGGTTGCAAGTTTTTAACGAATTGAAAAAACTGTTTTTTCTCGCTCCAGTCAATGCTTTTAGGTTATTTAGGACATTTTGTAGAACAGGTACTTCATAAATTTTCTCTAAAGTTGATAGTTCTCAAGATGTAGTGTAGTAGTAGTAGAAAGATTTATTTAGCACATTTGGCTACATAAATAGAATAATTGTAAACAACTTAGAACTTGTACATTTAAGCCATATGATGTATGATGTAAATGCTGGGCAACCTATAATTGTAGATTTAACAAGTGATTTCTCAATTTTACTTTAAATTTTGTCAAAGTTTTCTGGTCTTTTATCTCTGTGTATAATTTATTATATTCAATCAACCCTTGATGGAATACAGATTTGTAGCATGTGTTATACTTTTTGGTCATTAAATGGAAGTCATCTTTATTTCTGGTATTATGTAAATGATGGTCGACATTTGATAATGTTAAATTAGTTAGACTTGATGGAAATATATTATTTTTTACTTTATATTGAATATCATTACAAGATATTAGATAAAATTTTTTACATTGAGCCATTTTAATTTGCTAAGCATTTGCCTAATTGGAGTATATTTATCTTTATTCAGTATTATTCTCATGCACTTATTTCGTAAAATTTGCAGTCTTTCAAAAATGGAATTATTTGCTAAATATAGAATAGTCGAACAGTACAAGAAATTTGGAAGAATGATGGTATTATAGATAATTTTTCTGCTATTTGAACTCAGTCATCCAGAAACTCTCGATAAATATCCCACTTTACTATTAATCTTATTTATAACTTTTTCATAATGAATATCAAAAATTAATCGAGAGTCAACAAAAACCCCCAGGTATTTAAAATTTTCTACGAATTCAATATCTTCACCATCCATATTCAGTTGAACATTTGTACATTATTTTTTTCCGAAAGAAGGCTTTGGTTTTACTTGTATTTAATTTTAGTCTGTTAGATGCTAACCATTTTGAGACAAGTTTCAAGTCTTCATTTGTATAAAAATCTGAATTTTGCATTTTTTGAAAATCGTTTATGTATAAAATAAAAAGAAGTGATCCCAGGATACTGCCCTGTGGAACACACAATATTTGAAAATGTGTGAAATATGCCATTTTCTAATTGCCAATTTTACCAGAGTTCCTAAATATTCTTCATACGTCTATTAATAAATCCCGAAGAATCTCAGGAGGTATTTTTATTGTAAACCTTTGTTTTATAATTGTTAACCAATTAAAATACAAACGTTTACAATATCAATATGTGCTGAATTTGGAATTCGATTAACGGATGTTTGATGAATATTTAGGACATTGACAACATTAAAATTTATATTGTTTTTCAGTGTCGAGAGGCACATTTTCAATCATTGTATCGTTTATATCTCGAAAACTATCAACTATATAGAGACTTTCTAAAATAATTTTTTTATTCAGGTTGTCCCAAATAAAGACATAAATACATTTCGACGGAGCGAAAAAAAAAAACAACTAGGAATTTGTTTAAAAATTAGAATCAGAATATTTTTCCCACCAGATGCGGAATTATTGCCCGGACTATACAGGGTGTCCGTGAAGTTGGGGTTTTCCTTTACACGACGTGTAGATCTTGAAAACATAAGCAATTTTTCTTCACTGGCTCAACCCGACGACAGAACTGGGTCGGGGTCAGTGTGTCAGGTCAGTATAGAACCTTCAACCGACGGTTACGGTCACGCGTGTAGAGGTAATCGCGTAGACGAGAATCCCTCAACAAGCACTAGAGAAGTGCAAGTATCAAAAACTAAAGTGTGGCAAACGCAAACGCTGCGTGAAGAGGGGCTGTATCCGTTTCACGTCCAACGTGTACACGCCCTTCAACCTGACGATTTTCTAGCAAGAGTGCGGTTTTGTGAGTGGTTGTTGCATCAACATGACAATAATCCGGACTTTTTGAAGTGCATATTGCTGACAGACGAATCTACGTTCACGCGTAATGGGGTGAATAACTTTCGCAACACTCATGTTTGGTCAGTAGAAAATCCGCACGCTGTCCGTCGGGCACATTTTCAACAAACATTTTCGGTGAATGTTTGGGCTGGCATGGTGAACGGTATGCTCATTGGACCATTTATTCTCCCAAATCGATTGGACGGGATGCAATACCTAGACTTTTTACGCAACATTTTGCCTTCCTTGTTAGAAGATGTGCCATTAAGTGTAAGACAATCAATGTGGTTTCTGCACGATGGTGCACCGCCCCATTTTAGACGCGAAGTGCGTGAGTTTTTGAATGAATTCCGAATAAGTGGATCGGACATAATGGACCCGTAGCATGGCCTCCGCGATCTCCAGACTTAACACCATGTGATTTTTTTCTTTGTGGAGAACTGAAACGCTTAGTGTACAAAACTGAAGTGCATACGGTTGACGAACTTCGTCTCAGAATTGAACAAGCTGGTGCTTTCATTCGGGGGAGGGACTCCATTCTCAAAGCCTGCACCGATGCTTGGCTACGTCGGGCACGAACCTGTGTTTTTGAATCAAACGGCGATAACTTCGAACAATACCTATAAAGTACGTTTACCTAAAAACTGAAAACGCGGCAACGCCGTCATATTTGTTACCTCTGTTCGTGGTCTGCACCACCGCCTGCGTCTGCTCGGTAGCGCATCAGCTGATTTCATTTTCTGTTGGAGCGGTATGATTTCGGGCAGAGACGTACTTAGCCCTTCTCGTCAACTGGAGAGTGAGTACTTTTTCCTTTATTTTTTTTTACTTGGTCGCCCTCGTTTCACTACACATTACCTTTGTTATTTCAAGGGTAGTTGGTTCTGAAAAGGAAAACCCCAACTTTGCGGACACCCTGTATAGCCCTTAGAGAACAAAACATAAGGATGCTCCCAAATTTTGAAAACATCTTCCAGTATGTGAGAAAAAAGGCGTCAAGTAAATTGACTCTGCACTTCCTATCATGTTATACCCCCTGAGAAAAAAATCGTTACATGTACAATAGGTAAATTGGGCGAATCAAGTCAGCCAAACATGCCCATATACCATTGACATTCTCCCTTTCGCGTTTTTTTTTTGAGGGCTTTTGGTGTTTCAGGACGATGGACCAGGCTGATCTATCTAGTACATTAGAAAACGACAGATTGCCTCACACTTGCTTGTCCTTTTTGAAGAAAAAACAAAAGAACTGTCACCTGGTCGACAGTTAAATCAAATATAAATCATTGTACTGAAGATCATCTTTTTGAATGTAACATTTGATACAGTAAAGATCTTTTAATACATGTGGTTTTTATTGGCCAGACAAACATAACTTTATATGGTATTTTGGGAATTTATTTTTCGCATTTTGTAGCACGGAAGAAAACATCACAAAAATATTGAAACAAAGTGCATTATATCCCAAAATCCGAATATTAAGACAGACAAGTAACGTACTTCTCTACTAACTAAACTAACTTTTGTTTTTTCATGAACATGGAACCAAGCAAGATAATTTTACGGCTAAGAATATTTAATTTAATGCAATATCTTACCTCTCTTCAAGAAGTATAATCTCTCCACCTTTATGAACTTCGTGCCTCTTTTCAATGGCGTTCCTCACAATTTCTCGGGCTGGCCACCAAACATTAGCAGCCTAAAAGATAAAAATAAACCAAATGATATGATCAATCGGTATCAGGTCGATTGTGATCAGGCTGTGATCAAAAATAAAGTGTTCATATAACAATATCCATGAGTTTTATCGAATTTTGATTAGTAGGCGAAAATTTTAATGTTGAAACGGTTGTGGCACCACACTGATTTTTCATTCACCTCAAAGTACGTATGAACAAACCTATAAACTAAAGAAATTGAGTTTTTCTATACTTTATTATCCATATCAAAATATCCCGGTGTCACGTATTACACCCAATAGTCCCTTTCTGTTAGAATATAACTTAAATACGTTAAAGGGATTAACCTGCCCACAAAACCGATAAATATCCTCAGATGCGACATTTTGAACAGGTAAGTAGGTTCATATTTTCAACTTTGAAATGCAATAATTTGAGAAATGTTATCAGGAGTGATCACCCTCTAGCGCCACATACGTCGATAGATACCCTAAACCACATCCGCTGAGAAATGTGCACATCGACGGCAAATAATGCATAATCACCAAAGGTGTATTATTTGTCGCCGGAGGGTTTCTATCAGCTTATAAAAACTAGATGGGACGACAGATGAGATTATTCCTGCATGGGATAACTCAGGGCGGATCTCTCTTCGTGGAACTGGACGTTCCTGGGCCAAACAGTAAGTAACTATTTTATTTTATTGTACTTGTATTTGCGCGGCGTTTTGTTAATACACATTGATATTTTATTTGTTTGTATTATCATTTGACCCACCAGCCAGAGTAAACTTACGACCCACCTCACAGTCGTGACAACATCGATTTCCCACAGAAAGCTTGTTACACATTTCTTCGTTACATCAAAATCTATAATTTTACACAAAAAAAATCGAAATAATCTAAACTAAAATTCAATAAAACAAGTGTCGTCTCGCAGAGCCTCTTATATTACTTACTTCTAACACTCTCTCGGTAAATTCCTCACCAACCATTCCAACAGCCTTCATAAATAGTTTGTCAGTTGGCTCCTGTTCAGGGGAATTCCATTCTGGGTTTAACCTGTGCACCCTTGCACTCAAGTGAGTATTGATTCTATATCTAGGTTTACCTATAAAAAAGATCACAACTTGTTAATGTAACGTCTGAAACTGATCCTGTCCTTTACACGTCGATAATCCTCCATGTTTGTCTGGCCAATGAAACCAGGTGTACAGGGTTTCGGCAGTAATCAGAGGAGCCAATGAGAAACTGTTTAAGACTGTAGTATTTGGAGATTTGGTAGGAATTAAATAACATACAGCGACCGAACTATAAAAAAACCACTAAAGTTATATGAAAAAGCTACACAGGACACATGTTTTCCAGGGAATACCAATATTTAAACTTTTTAAGATAACATTATTATCAAATGGCTAATGTGACCTTACAGGGGCTGCTAATAGACTATAGAATATCAATAATCACATTGGTAATGATGTGTGGAATTCGAAATACATAAAAACTCACCTTCACTATACATTGGGATGCCATTATCAATAGCATCCAACTCTTCCACAAAACCCTCATAAATATACAGGTAAATACGTGATAAACATTCACTGCTTCGATTAATAGTGTTTTTTTTAAGTATCGATGAAATCACTTCAAGACCAAAGTGGGCATATACTAACCCGGCAGAGCTCAATCTGAAAACATTTGAAGATTTAGTGTAAATACACAGTCACTCAGTCAAAATAAGTGAGGCACATTAGGCTACTTGACATATCTAATTTCACAGAATGAGTATTTCTTACAGTATTTCGGAACTAGTACATCTATTTCAATTTTTAAACCAATGATACAATAACTGTAATTACTAAATTTACAATTGGTACGACGTCATTAATATATGGGTCAAACATGTCAGAAAGTGTTTATGCCTGACTAAGAGAAAGATATTTTTAAAGTGTTACAGTCTCTATTTTTACCTTATTAGTTTATTCTTTGCCAGATCTGGTCTAACAGTGCTAAGTGTGTCTTCAAAACTTTTCTGATGGTGATCATATCGATTTCTTTTTGGACTGTACTCTCCTCCTACATCAACTACTATATCACAGGTATCTAGAACCTAAACGGTTATTGTCAGACAGGTAATGAGACATTTTTTTAGGAATATCATCACATATTTGGGCATTTACCCCACGATAATTTATGAACTAATAATGGTTTAAAAAAACGCGATTGATAGGAGTTTGGTGACATTGAATTTGACCTTGACCACGACATTCAAAGTCAAGTCGACTTTTTTAAATAGACCACCAATTTTTGACGCCGTAAATGAAAAGAACGGAAAATTTTACGTTCAAATAGGGTCTTGGCTATTTTTAAATTTTGACCTTAGGAGGTCAGGGTCAAGGTCAAAAACAAGTACAGTGATATAACTTGAAAACCACCAGTCATATAGGGAAGCTACCAAGACATTATTTTCATGATTTTTCCCTGGACCTTGGATCTGGCCTTAACCATGATGACTGTCAAGGTCATGTAAAGGTCAAATTGATTTTTGTAGCCAGGGAACCATCCTGGAAAAACAGTGAAGTCAGTTTATCTAGGGTTTTTGGAATTATCACGAAATTAAGGTAAACTTGTGTTTGACCTCCATTGTCAAGTTTCAGAAATAGTCAAGGACATGTTCAAACACGAAATTTTCCAAATTCTTCATTTCTACTGTCAAAATTATAGGATCCCATTAAAAAAAGAGTTGACCCTCAAATGTCCTTGTAGACCATGACCAATGTTCTGCTGGACTACTGGTTTCCAAGTTTTATCATCAAACCTGGGTTTGACGGGGATCATGACCTTCAAGGTCATCTGAAGGTCAAATATATTTTTTAAACAGAACCTCAATTCTGACTTAGTAAATTAAAAGAGCGGAAAATCTTATGCTCAAATATGGTTTTGAATATTTTTGAATTTTGACTTGGTCAAGGTCAAAACCAGGCAAGGTGGTATAACTTGAATTCCAGTAGTCATGCAGGGTCAAAATTTAAGAATGGCAAATGTCACATTTGAACACTCGTTTCATTTACACGTCAAAAATAGGGGGTTCCATTTAAAAAAATTGTTACTTGATCTTCAAATGGTCTTGAAGGTCATGATTAAATATCTGGGAAAAACTCCTATCAATCAATCAAATCAATAGCATGTTTATTCAGCTGGAGACGCAAGCTAGGGATTATTATTGAGCCGTTAATAAAAATCTCTGTCCCTGACAATATAAACAAATCGACTGTTTCCCATAAAAAGCATCACATGAGGCCATAATGGTTATTAATGAAAATTGTGTCACTCAAGGCCTGTTTAACATAAACTTACTTCCAATAGTAACCATTAGGGGAGTTTGCTTATTATAAGATCTATTAGGATCATCTTGTTTTTTCACATGCATTGCATCTTGTATGTAGTTATTATAGGGTCTGGTTTACAGTCAACATGTAGTATAGCACAAACATAGTCACAGTATAACTCTTCTGTTTTTGAAATTGAAGTTTATAGTTATGATCATGATCGTAACATATACATGCATTTTAATTAACAACAAATTAATGGATCTGCTGGTACATTCATTCCACCGCCATCTATCTGCTACATGACGTAGACGTCTGTGCAAATGTCATATATGAGAGGCGCTTGCCTGCGGTGTTGCCGGATTGGGCTCCACATTTAGGGAAAAATATGAAAAGGTGAAAATTTAAATACATATGTATATTAATGAAACACAAAAATGTAAAACTGAAATAAACAACAGTAGCAAAATAAAAGGCAGTGCCTAATAAGTATAAATCAAAAAATAACAGTAGTAAGCTAAAAAATGATAAAAATAATTATAAAAAACAAAAAATAAAAACAGTAGTAAAACAAAAAAAAAACAATTCCACGTTGAATGAAATGCAATTCTAAGAGACAACACAAAACAAAAAATAAAAACAGAAGAACAATTTCATTCCATCCAAATTGCTTTTTATTTTACTGTTTGTAATTTTTTGTTTTTTATAATCACTTAGAATTGCTTTTTATTTTACTGCTGATTGTTGTTTGTTTCAGTTTTTTGTTTTTGTGTTTCATTAATATCGTATATAAATTTTCCACTTTTCATATTTTTCCCTAAATATGAAGCCCAATCCGGCAACACCGCAGGCAAGTGCCTCTCATATATGGCATATCCACAGATGTCAGCGTCATATGGTGGTGGAAATAATGGGGAATAACTGCTAAAAATACAGTGTTTTGGGAAAAAAATAATGAAAAGCGTGCTTCATCCACCCTTTTTATGATGTAAAATAATTTATCAGACTACCCTCTATAAGTTTTAAGTGAAAAAACAGTGAAATCCGAAGTTCTACAAGACGCAACAGTACCGGTAGCTTTTATCAGCTTTGGCAGTTTCCTTTTGGTGAAGAAGAAATGTTTTACCCATGGGATTAGTGTAAACTGCCAACATAACAACATAGTATAAGGGGTTGATAAATTGTTAACTTCTTATTTTCTGATATATCGGGCAATGGACCACCTAATTTAAATCAGTGGTTGAACTACCTTATGTTTACGCTATGTACTATAAACCGAGATTGCCGTTCATTTAGTAAAAGAGTACGAGGAACTATAACTATATGTACTAAAGTATTGACACTCACAGTTGGATCCCTGGTCCTAATAATATCAGCATCCTTATACTCGTCAAGTTGCTTTAACATATAACAGGCTAGAGCTTCGTCGCAGTGGAATACACCGCTGTGGGTACCTATTGTTCTAGCCATTCGAACATTTTTCGGATCAGATGCCATCGTTGCGAACCTACATTTCATTCAAGCATGAGAAACAATCCAACTTAACAAATCGCTATTCAAACCACAACTTACCCACGCCACACGTGTGAAGCTGTTTCGTTAGTTACGTTGACCGCTTTAGTACAAACTTCTTGCATGAGCTTGTAAACGCGTTTTGAGCTCATTATGCATAACCTCACATTCTTAAATGACGTTTCTGTCATCTGTTCGGAGAACGCCGACGCGGGGAACTACTTAAAGCCATCCACAGACGGTCTTGCATGCCCGACGTGTCGGCCACGGCTGCGATTCTGTAAGATCCGGTATAGTTTAAATGACTACTGATCAGCAAGTGACAGTTTTGTATTAGTTTGTTATGTTGGTAATAATGAATCGGGAATAAATCTAGTAAAACTTCTTATAGCGTCCTTTTTTTGTATACAAATTATGTATAAGGCAGTACAAAATGAGTTGGTGCGTAAAACAAAATACAGCTCGGTTTGCCTGAAGTTGACGGATACGTTAGAATCAGGTCATTTGTCGGTATGGGGAATTTTGAAATATTACAAGAGAGTAAGCGGTTATTCTACCGGAATGGATACGTGGCAAAGATCGACGAATGGACAAATTAGCATTTAGAGGTTAGAAAAAATTTGAATTTCAAGCAGATACTTTTTTGTTACTGACGTAAATCGTGGAGAATTCGTGAAGCACCCCGAAAAGATAAATTAAGTGATTTGAATAGATAGAATCCCAACTTCAGTTGTCATCACAGAACACACAACAGTGAGTTGACATGCCAGACAGGAAGGATAAAAATTGCTCAAATTTCGTGTTTTGACGTTTCAGATCATCCTGATCATTTCTGGAAAAAAATAGGGGTAACAAAATTTGTGGTGGGGTTGCAGGGGGGCGGGGCGTTTATTCGCCGGGCTTGGTGCGTGATCTGTTCTGATATGGTGTTACACGTATCTGCCGCGCCATAGCATAGCGTTTCCTATGCTCTGATCGCGTTGCCCCGTCTGACCGGCAGGGGTATTTTGCAACTTGAAAAGTGACATTATGTCGATTTTTTGACAATAGGGAATTATGGCAATACCAATCCACTATTAATACCAACCTTACACTAACAATGACAAGTAGAGACTGAGAATTGTTTCAGAATTACTGCGTCTAACCGGGTTATGCATTGGGGAGAGGCGACGTTATTTTTGCAAAATAATATAATTTATTTAATGCTAGCTACTTTTATCTATGCTATGTCTAAATGTAAAATAAAACTGCAACTATATGGCGGGCTATGCTTGATGTTTTCAATAAGGATCATAGACGTAAAGTATTACCATTAATACATATACACAGGTTTACAAAAAAAAAGTTTTTTATTATTTAATTTCAAGATCAAACTACAGAGCAAGAAGACGCTGCCATACACATTTTCTACTAACATACAATCAAGTATTCAATATTACAAATTCGATACCAAAATAAATACTATACAAAAACGGTAACAAAAATACTTATGTTTATACAAGAATGGCTATACAATATGAAGTCCATGTACAACATCTGCTAAAAAACTTCTTTCCTGAAATTAAAACCATACTGGTCCGATTTTACCCTCAGGATTCTTGCCAAGTTGGGTGGTCCGCAAAAGAATATCGTGACCTTTCCCTTCTTCTGGTCTGCGATTTGCTTGAACACTTTATCCCAATTTGGACGCCCTGCATTTGTTCTTGTTTTCAATCCTGTTATCAAATCTCTTTTTTCCTAAAACAAAAAATGCAGATGAAAGTTGAAAGCTTGATCCTGTCATATTTGCAATATTCTTTAATTTTGTTTCATTCGTATTCGTATTTGGAAACATTATATATCATTATATAGTTATTAGTCGTAACTAGCTAGTAGGAAGTATCCTTGATGTGTCTTTGGGAACGCGAAAATTGCAAAGTGTACTCTTTTAACTTCAAAACTAAAGCTTTCGATGGTATATGAAATCATCATCAGGAGCTAAAAACAAATTTAGAAAATATCAACTATAAACAATTAAGTGATATTTCATTACTTACTAAGTCGGCGAGATTGTTGCTGAATTGTTCTTAGAAGAATTTTTGCTTTCTCATTGCTACATTACAAGTCTACTGATAAAAAAAATAAAATTTGTTCATCTGAAATTAACATGGAAACATCTATCCAATAAAATATCTTACTTTTTCATGTAATAGATCAAGGGCTAGCTGTAGCCCCACAGCTTTCATGTCTGTCTTCTGAAGTGCACTAGTAATATACATATGCATTTCTAAAAATCTTTCCATAGCACCGCCCAGTTCTGCTTGTTCTATCTCCAGCTGAGATAGCAAATTGACGAACCACTCGAAAGATCTCTGATCTCTGTTGATCCAGAAGAAGTCCACCTGAAAGAAAATATAGCAATAACGTCAGTAGTACAGCATTTGCTAGACATGGAGATGATGTCTATTATTTATTTATGACGTATATTATTTTATATATATGTTGCTTTGAATTAACATCGGACAGGGATGGAATGAGATAATTATTTCTCTTCCCACTAACTTGATCCGTTAATTCAAAACAAATAATCTCAAAAACACGCCATATTAACGCCCTGCAATGCACGTACACAATTGGACGTTCAGTAGACGTCATTACGACGTCTATATGTGGAGCAATTACGTCAGTAGACGAGTTATCACCAAATTTCGACGTCATAATGACGTGCTTGTGCTAGCTGGGTATGTAGATGAAATAATAAGCAAGATTTTTTTAATGAAAATTATTTCTCTTCCCACTGACTTGATCCGTTAACTCAAAATAGTAAACCTCAAAAACTCGTCCTATTGACATCCTACAATTGACGTACACAATTGGACGTTGAGTAGATGTCATTACGACGTTTATATTTGGAGCAATTACGTCAGTAGACGAGTTATCACCAAATTTCGACGCCATAATGACGTGCTTGTGCTAGCTGGGTACGTAGATGAAATAATAAGCCAGATTTTTTGAATGAAAATTATCTCTCTTCCCACTGACTTGCTCTGTTAATTCAGAATAGTTACCTTCAAAAACTCATCATATTAACATCCTACAATTGACATACACAATTGGACGTTGAGTAGACGTCATTACTACGTTTATATTTGGAGCAATTACGTCAGTAGACGAGTTATCACCAAATTTCGACGTCATAATGACGTGCTTGTGCTAGCTGGGTACGTAGATGAAATGAGAAGCTACCTTTTTTTGAATGAGATAATTATTTCTCTTCCCACTGACTTGATCCGTTAATTCAAAACCGGTAACCTTAAAAACATGTCATATTAACGCCCTGCAGTGCACGTACACAATTGGAAGTTGAGTAGACGTCATTACGACGTCGATATCTGGAGCAATTACGTCAGTAGACGACTTATTACCAAATTTCGACGTCATAATGACGTGCTTGCGCTAGCTGGGTACGTAGATGAAACAATAAGCTAGATTTTTTGAATGAAAATTATTTCTCTTCCCACTGACTAGATCCATTAATTCAAAATAGATAACTTCAAAAACTCGTCCTATTAACGTCCTACAATTCAGGTACACAATTGGACGTTGCGTAGACGTCATTACGACGTCGATATTTGGAGCAATTAGGTCAGTTGACGAGTTATCACCAAATTTTGACGACATCATGACGTGCTTGTGCTAGCTGGGTACGTAAATGGAATGAGAAATTACCTTTCTTAGATTCATAACAGTAGCAGGAATCTCACTGGACCAGGAATACGTGCAGCGTGGACAAGTGTGTCTGGCTTTCCAGTATTTGTGCATGATCGACTGCAAAATGGACGCAAACGGTGTAACTCCAATCCCTGTCGCTATGAGCACTGCATGCTGGGCCCGGAATATGTGACTTGACGGAGCTCCGTAAGGTCCGTCAATGTATATCTGCAAATGTTAAGCCTGGAATATGTTTGTATGGCAATGATATACAGAACAGCTTCAGCGCGATGGCGTTGCAGTTATAAGCAAAGAAATTGAGATAAGTAGCCTCAGTGCTTCCCTAGGTAGTCCCAGTGAACATAGTGACGTTATAATGTCAGCATTTTGACGGTACTACTGATGTACGCTGACCAACAGAAATACCGTAGAGATGACGTCATTTTGATGGTCTATGTTACACCTAATTGATGTCATTATATGACGTCGTATGTCGTATAAAAGGCCAAATACAAAGTCGATACGACGTCCGTATGACGTGGATATGACGTCTATCTGAGGTCGGTAAGACGTCTATGTGACGTCATGACGTACAAAACCTGTATTTTTACCTGAAAAGTCATATCTTCTTTATAAATACCAATAAAGTAGTTATTAGTATTTGGATATCTAGTTTACCTTACTGTTCGCAAGTCTATATTTTCTTTGTAGGTGGGTGTTGATTTTTCAGTACTGACTCCTAAAAAGACGGCAAAATAACAGCCGATTAAAGGACGTCTTGTTATCGTCATAAAAATGGTTTCACTAAATACGTAATTCTTCAGACAATGACGTTTCTGACCAAAAGTGACTGAATAATGACGTCATTTTGGCGTCATCATGTTCATTGTAGTATTTTCGAACTTTTTTTCACATATAAGATCTCCGAAGAGGTTTTCTGTGCTTCTTATGCTACCTCTGGGACCGGTCCAAAAACTCTTCACAACCTTATTTTTAAATTAGACCTATTTGAACAATTTGTGTGCGTATACGTGTGCAGGAAATATGCTGATTCCTGAGAAGCATTGCGTGAATATGTTTAGCAAAACAAGAAGAAAACAGAGAACAAGAAAGCAGCAAAAACGCCCAGCAAAATACGTTGACGAACATTTAATATACATATAGGTCACCTCTGTCCCTTGGTGCTCAGATATCTTTATCTTGATGTCTTCACATGTTTTACCCTTCCAGTTCTTCATCCGGTTACTCTTAGTCTACTGATAAAAAACACGACTTAAGAAGTGTAATTAGACACGCTTCATACATCAAAACACATTCCATACTTACAGGGTGGCCCAACGAAAATGTGGCACCTCCATTTGTGACGGTATACAATACACGGAAATCACATTTTTTCAATTTTTTTATTCTTCGTGAAGCTTTTAGTAACTTTTGTATACTAAAGTGTGAAGCTAATTGAGTCAATAATAAAATTCTAGAAATTATGAAAATAAGAGGCTTTATCGTAAAAATAAAAGTCCATATAGTTCCCATAGTAACAAGACCTTACTTTAAAGTTAAAAATAAGTATCTAGACGTGCATTCTATTATTTAGTCGAATTTTACTATAAACTCAAATAATTTCACAACGATTGAAAATACGTATAGATATAAAATTTATTATACAAAAGTTAATGAAAGTTTCATGAAGAAATCTAATAATTAAAAAAATGGGGGACAATATCTCATTGTCATTAGAAGTATGGGAAGCTTTGGATATCATCGATTTCTTACCTCTAAAGGCTTTCCAACAGGGTAGTTGACAGGCTGCAGAGATGATGGAGAAAAACTGCTTTCGTTACATCGGGATCTTATTCTTCCCTCTTCTGCTTGCCTCTGTTGATTTGCGTGGACTTGTGCTAAAAATAGCATAGGGGTATACAGGGTGTTTCAGTTTATTGTTGCATAACTTTAAGATTCGTTAGAACTTTTAAAATTAATGCATAAAGTCTATATAAACATGGGTCGAAAAATGCGTGGCTTCCGAAATACAGGGTGTTTAAATTTACTTTCTAAAATAGTTTTTTTTAAATATTTCGAACAATATTTGATGTATAACAGTGAAAATTGGTATACAAGGGTTTTTTGGTACGACAAAACGAACCATGGGCAGAGTTTTACTGTAGCCGCTAGAGGGCGCTCTCTACTGTACCTGTAGTGTATTAAAATGACCGAAATTTTTTTCTTAGTGCAATTTTTTGCTTCTTGAATAAAAAAACTGATTCTTCGCACTTTTCAACATAAAAAAGCTCTCTTGTGAATTTTTGTTATAGTTAGCCGTTTTTGAGATATTTCGATTTTTAAGGTTCGATGCATTTTTAATTATTTATGATAAAATATCGTTAAAAAGTCAGTATCTCGATAATTTTTAGAAGTAGGCTGTGCCTGCAAATATTTTTGAAATTGAAATCAGAATAAGATTAAACGTCAATTAGTTGACAGTTAGTTTCGTTGTCTGCTGCGACCTTCTTGGAATTTTTAAAGGCTGAACATGCAAATATGTGGGCTGATGTTATGTTAGATTTAAGAAGATTGGCCTGGTTCCAGCTTGATGGTTGTCCAGCTCATTATTCGAGAATAGTTAGAAACTGGCTGGACGAAAATTATCCAGAAAGATGGATCGGCCGTGGAGGACCAGTCGCCTGACCTCCACGATCCCCTGGCCTAAATCCATTAGATTTCTTTGTGTGGGAATTTCTAAAAGAAAAAGTGTACCAGACTCCCGTAACCACAAGAGATATGCTAATAGACAGAATCAGGAATGCATGTGATGAAATAAGGCCTTATTTGAATAATGCTATACCACGTTCGATCATTCGTAGATGTGAATTGTGTATTGAACAATTGGGTTTACATTTCGAGCAACTACTTTAGATTTTGTATGTTTGTCCTAACTATCCAATAGCATTTTAGTTGTAAATAATTAATTTCATTTGCTAAAAATAATATTGGAAAATTAAACAAATTAATATTCTGTTTTTTGTGTTTATTTGGAGTTAGGAATTATTGCTGTGTTTAAAAGCACAATCTAAACGATCATCTTAATTACTTGTAATGCCCAAATCGTGAATGTAAAAAAAATATTATTTTCCCTTAAATAATAAAAAATGCATCTAACCGTAAAAATCGAAATATCACAAAAACGGCTAACTATAACGAAAACTCACAGGAGAGCTTTTTTATGTTGAAAAGTGCAAAGAATCAGTTTTTTTATTCAAAAAGCAAAAAATTGCACTAAGAAAAATTTTTCGGTCATTTTAATACACTACAGGTACAGTAGAGAGCGCCCTCTAGCGGCTACAGTAAAACTATGTCCATGGTTCGTTTTGTCGGACCAAAAAACCCTTGCATACCAATTTTCACTGTTATACATCAAATATTGTTCGAAATATTTAAAAAAAACTATTTTAGAAAGTAAATTTAAACACCCTGTATTTCGGAAGCCACGCATTTTTCGACCCATGTTTATATAGACTTTATGCATTAATTTTAAAAGTTCTATCGAATCTTAAAGTTATGCAACAATAAACTGAAACACCCTGTATAAGATATCTCGAGTATACACAAAAAGACTAGAAAACAAAGCCAATATTTTCAGGACAGAAAATAGATGTATCAATAATACAATAAGTTCATGTACCTTAAAATAGTCTTTTATTGAGATGCAATTTTGAAGTTTCAATTTGAAAATCGCAGTAGATGAAGGTACCTAACTTTTTATAATATCTACAATCCATACAAAAATGTCAGCAATTCTAACCTCACAAGTGGCGAAGACTTTGTGCGATATTTTGTTCCTTACAGGAAAAGAAAACTATTTTATAGGATTTTGAAACACCGCTAGCATTTTTAGATAAATCATTGTCACATTTCTCCATGTCAATTAATGACTTTCCCTCTTGTTTTGTTGATTGCCTTTCCTGAAGGAGGACTTCTCATTTTGCGCTTGGCTGCTTCCCAGAGATACTTTACATCTTATAGGTTAAACTATTTTCACACTTACCAACACTACCAAACGAGCTACTGGACTGACGTTGCTCGCAATTCTCTAAACTTGGAGTTTTGAAAGCTATTATGGTCGGCTTGTTCCTCATATACCTGAAACTTTGAGCTAGACTTTTGTTCTGGGGACTCAGGTAGGCAAGTCCTAATGACTGCATCCTAGCTTTTCGTATTTGCGAAGTGTTGAAGCTCTTTTCGGACTCCGATCTCATGTATTCGCGTAACCTATAATGATAAAATTCATACTCGACGTGGATCTAAGCTGTAGCCAGTCAGGGGAAAAGTAAGGGTGACAGATATATTTATTTTGATATATACTAAGTGACATATAAATCCGAACACCCAGTTTAAATGGTTTTATTTTAATAAAATTTTGCATAAGTACTTAATGAAGCATAATAAGTAAATGATAAAAATTTCAAAATGATTGCACTGCTTTAAAGCCCTTTGACCTTTAATAATGTGTGGATGCACCCTGCTGTGCTACGCATTCTCCAATGCTCCTAGGCATGCTTCTGATCAGGTGGTCAATGTCCTCCTGTGGTATCTCATTCCAGGCAACCACCAACTCCTCTCGAAGTGCTTCTAGAGTCTGAGGAGGACGTTGCAAATTGAGCAATCTCCTATGTGGGATATGATCCCACACGTGCTCAATTGGGGATAAGGCGGGAGATCTTGGTGGCCATGGTAACAATGTGACATCATTATGTTGAAAGAAGTCTATTGTGACTCTTGCAACATGTGGTCAGGCATTATCTTGTTGGAAAGTTGGATCGGCCAGGGTATCAAGATAGGGTAAAAGATGGGGTTCTAGAACTTCGTGGATATATCATGTTACCTCTGATGAAGATTAAAGGTGACCTGGAACCATAAGCTATAGCACCCCAAACCATAACTCCAACAGTGTGATGAACATGTCTTTCAACAAAAAACTGTGGATTCATCCTTGCACCACGTCGCCTTCTAACCCTGGCACGACCATCGTGCATGCCTAAACAAAATCGAGACTCGTCACTAAAGACAATACTGTTCCATTCCTGATCCCAGAGTGACCGTTGTCTGCACCACTCAAGGCGATTACGTCGGTGTTTTCGAGTTAAAGGGAGGACCCAGTGTGGCCCGTATGAAAACAAGCCAAAACTTCTCATTCGTCGGTAAACACTTCGCATGCCAATAGGTCTTCCGTGTTCTGCAAACCATTCATTTGCAATGGACCTGGTCATGGTCTGTTGTTCTACGGCGGCGTCCAGTGCCCCTTGCTCTTTGCGTACGGCCTTCTCGAAGACATGCCTGACAACACCTAACCACAGTGTCTACACTTCTTTGCACTCTAACTGCAATTGCCCGAAAAGAAAGTCCAGCTTCCCGAAGTCCCACTATACGGCCCCTATCAAACTCACTAAGTTGACGAAATCGTACAGGTCTCCGGACTCTAGGCATCGTAACCGATCGTAAAGGATGACAAGAACCAAAATCCGCCAACGTTGATTCTTTACTGCGACTGAAATATTCATTTTTAGAGCGTTAGTGAATTAAAAAAAAGCAGTATAAAAACCGGAATGTCCAACTGATAAGGCTGAAAATTTTTTTTACAGTAAGATAAATACATTCACCAACTTTTATTAAAATAAAACCATTTAAACTGGGTTTTCGGATTTATATGTCACTTAGTATAGAATAGAACATTGCAGCTGCTATTAAATAGAAAGTTCAAGAGTGTACAACGAAAAGGCGAATGAGTAGACCAGGATGTGGAAACAACTTACACTAAGTTCCTTTCTCGTTTCTTTTCTTTCGTTTGCATGTCTGGAACGGACAGTGACTTCTCTAACGGAGCTTTGTTAGAAAAGATCAGCTTGTGTATGTTACGTTCATCTGGCATCTTTGCCTCACCTGTGGAAAAACAAATGCAAAGTTATAAACCCATCTGATGCCGTCATAAACTATTTTATCTCCATCAACTTGGAGGGCCGAAACGTGACTGAAAGCTTGTACAGTCTGCAAAAACCTAACGTTCGCCAATTCTGGCCTTCAAGACAATCGCTTCAGAAACGAATCTCAATATACTCTTTAAGGTCTTGTAGAGCAAAGCTTAACTTTTATTTAGATACTTGGCGACCTCATAAATTATCATTTTTAACCGATATTTAAAGCAATGAATATACCCGGAACAAGTTTGTTGAGAGAGAATTTTACCAACATTTAAAATTTAACGGAGTCTTCGATCAATCAGGGAACAGCTTATCGAAATGCAATTTGACTCAAGCTGTCAAAGCTCTCTGAATAACAGTGATTCCTATTGAAATTTTGAAGAAAATCGTAAAAAATTTATTGGTTAAGAAATAAAGGTACATTGTGGATGCGATACCATGATGCTGCTTGTTAATATTTTAAATGCAATCGCCAAATTACTACAAAATTAGGTAAAGTATATTTAAGATATTTACGAAAAAGCGTTTTTTTTTGCTAAATTTCAACACCATGTTAAATTTATGGTACATTCTTAATGAACACATTGTATATAAGACGTTCAATATAGGGAGTAAGAACATGTAGCATCAAGAGACGGTTTGGATTGAGGTCTTGTAGAAATGAGATATTATTGATATATACCTGGAAAGCTTTCAGTTCCTTTATCAGTCTCGTCTTCAGATGCATCGTTTTGATAGTTTTCATTAGAAAATCCAACCAATTGGACTGCACCTTGCTTATTTTTATCTCGTTTCGATAAGGTTCGTCTTATAGAAGACTGAATTTTCCTCAAAGCGCTTTGGCCATTCCTCTCTATACTTCCATTAGAAACTCGTTTTTTAGGCTTACTGCAACAGGGCACCGGTTCTATTTCTCCGTTATGAAGTTTTTCCTGCTCCTTTTCGAAATACTCGTATAGCTTGTTCGTCCACTGTCCAACTCCTCTTATGTGGAGCCACATGTAATCTAAAGAATAAGGCAGGTATACTGATAGATAGATAAATTATGGTTTATTGTCTGAAACAGCGGCAATACTTCTGAATTAGAAAGTACATCCAAAATTAGCACGGAAACTAATCATGCTCCTAATACATTGGTTTCGCGCCTTGAGTAAATCAAACTTCAATACAGAGGGATATATATACAGGGTGACTTCGAAGTTGAGTCATTTATTTTAACAGTGAGTAGATCTGATCAAAAGAAATGTTTTTTTCCTTTACCATTTTTCTGGTAAAATTAAAGTAACAAAGTTATAGCCCTTTGGAAGTTTGAGTACCGCCCTGTCTCAATGATAATATTATGTGCTCGTGTTTGGCAACAACGGATATAATCCGCCATCGGTTCATCGCATCGGAAACAAAAAAGCGAAAGAATTTGGAACGCTGTTTTTACAATTATTTTATTCAGTTGTGTTGTATACAGTCAGTGTCAGTCGGTAACGCGTCAGTGAATAGTGGTGTCTGTTGCGTGGCTCAAACGAAATAAAAAATGGCACATGTTTATGCGGATCGGTTTCCCAATCGAGTGCAACCAACCCCTCGTGCCTTTGTTAATGTAGTACAACGGGCTCGTGAATCAGGTGACTTAAGACGGCATGCCGGTGCTCCAAGACCTCGCGATCAAATACAGGTCCGCACTGAAATACTTGTCGGGAGGATACTTTATAAAACAAGGTAACATTTTTTTTTATTTTTACACACATATATTGGTTTATCTCCCTTCTACAATCATTATCTGAAAATTAATGACTCAACTTCAAAGTGCATATATATATATATATATGCAATACCCAATATTTTAGTGGCATATTTGGACGGAGCGTCTATAAACAAGAAGTTTGATATCGCATAACATACGGGTTCGATTGTCAATTATTTAGATATTTAGAAAATGTATGAAAAAAATGTCCAACTTTGACAGCTCACAGCTCGCCATTTTTTAAGATATCTATATAAATATTAGCATTTTGCGTTTTGAGATACCCTGTATAAATAGAAAGAAATTTGACCACTTATTCCAAATCAGCTTAAAATCGATGATAATAAAATTTAGGGTGTTCTATTAAAAACATATAAGCTTGAAATAGCACGAAGTTACTGAATTAAAATAATTTTAAAACATGCACTAGTAACATATCAGAATTGCCACAAAAACAGATTGTTGATATCTTTTCCTGTTTTCTCAAAAAACTACTTTAAATTTTCGACAGGTGTTTATACTAAATTTTCGTGTTAGTTCCCGATAAACTCACTCTTGGCTCTACAAATAGTACCATTTTTTAATCACGCTGCATTATTAATATTATTTTATGAAAACGTACAAAGTTTCAATACATATATGTTGCTTATTTCTTTCTCCGCTGACAAAAAAACGGATTTCAGAAATATAGCAGCATTTGCAGCGGTTACTAAGATTACGTGTTAATAACAACGCCAATTGACAGGTAGATGAATTGTAATAAGCAATTCGAAAATTATTGCTGGAAATCTTGTGAAGACAGCTAGATAAATCAGCTAGGTAGAATACGTTAAACAATGCTAACAGTAGTTATCATACAGCTTGAAACAAAAGTTCCTTAATGGCTTTGTATTTTCTCGAGTAAGCTATTTTTGGAAAAGATAAAGATCAGGAACTTTCAGCAAGAAATGTGAAATGTGATCTTGAATTTGATTTTGACCATCACCTTCAAACAGAAACCCTTATTTTTGATGCCGTCAATCGAAAAAAAAACAGAAAAAAACACGTTCAAACACAATTAAAGATCAAGGTCTGAATGACTACTACTAAACGTCAAACCAAGATCAAATGTGTGCTGTTAGTAAAACCGCTATAAATTTCACAGGGTCAGGTGTGTAGTAAATGTTGGCGAGGGATCTTGAACTTCACCTTCAAGGTCATTTTTATTTCGAATAGAAACCCGCAGGAACAGTATCGGTTAAAAATCATTTATAACAAGCACCGTAGTTCCCTCGCTATAACATACCCAAAGATCTGACTACGAGTTATTTTTGTCGATATTCATGTGAGATTTCCTAGCAACACACATTCAGCCTTTATGTAACCTCTGGTAGTCATCTTGACCTTGAATTCTAATACACATTTAAAGATAAAATTTTCTTCTCTGGGTCGCTGGCATCATATAGACGTTTCTATGTGGACAAATAGAGTTGATTTTGAAATGACCTTGAAGGTAAGAAATCCACGATCAACGGTACTTGTGACAGTTTGCTAAAGAACTGATCTTGATTGCTATTTTCGTCACTAAGATTCATAGTGGTTTTCCTAGCAGCACACATTTGACCGCCATTTGACCTTTAGTCGTCACCATGACCATGGTCTTTAATTCGTATTTGAACGTTAAATTTTCCGCTCTTTCGACTCCGGTCTCAAAAATAGAGATTTTCGTTGAAATTACGTTGGAGGTCAGGGTCAAGGACAAAGCCAAGGTCACCGTACACTCCGACCTTGATAGTAGTTTTCATTATTAGTCCTGTGGGATTTATAGAGGTTTTTCTAGCAGCACACACTTGACCTTTGTATATCACCCTGACCTTAGACTTCAATTTGCATTTGAACGAAAATTTTCCGCTCTTTCGATTATTGGCAGCAAAAATAAGGATTTTCATTAAAAAGAAGAAGTTGACTTTGAAATAGCCGTGAAAGTCAAGGTCAAATCCAAGGTCAGCTTTCACTTCCTCGTTAACATTTACCGACGACTTGACCTTGATAGTTATTTTCATCACTCAACCGGCGAGATTTATAGAGGTTTTACTGGCAACACACATTTGATCTTCATTTGACATTTAGTAGTCATCCTGACCTTGGACTTCAATTGTGTTTGAACGTGAATCTTCATGTCCTTCCGATTGCCGACATCAAAAATAGGGGATTCTATTTGAAAAAATATAGTTGTTTATGAATTAACCTTGAAGGTGAAGGTCAAGGTCAAATCAAGGTCACTACTGAACACCTGACCTTGATCTTTACCAAAAATAGAAAATTGTTCGACTTACCATCCTGTTCTGGAGCACTACTTAGTGTGAAAGGATGCCATTCGTATTTTGCAATTGCAGGAATGCTCACAAACACGTAGTCTCCTGCATGAAAGTCCAGATGTGGAGGTCTTTTTATAACCAAGTGAGTTACCCTCGACGGTAGCAAAATGCCAGAGCTTATGTAAGTTTTGCCTCTTTCCGTTACGATGAATAAAGACCTGTGAAGAAGATTCAAATAGAGGTAAAAGCCACGTTTTTGTTTCTTCACGCAACATTGGTTATCGTGAGAAGTTTCGAGGTGTCAAATATTTCCGTACAGCGGTCTTTTAGGATAATTCGTCCTTACAAGACGGCAATTGTGCGGGAACTTTCTGAACGAGACGTCGCATTGAAATTCTTATTATGCCATCTTGTAGAGAGGTAAAAGTGGTAACGTCAATCTGCGAGTTATTTTAAAATCGTACTACAAACAACAACGCACTTTAGTAAAGGGTTGTCCAATAGGGACGCAGGAAGGTAAATGTCAATTTGACAGAGACGCCATCTTTGTTTTCTGTCACCGACATGTCATTTTGTTAGTTGAATGTTTACCATTGATCGCTATGGATTCGTATTCGATTGAAGACCGCATTAAAGTTATTCAAGAGCACTACAAAAACGGTGCAAAAATAAAAAACACGTGTCGCGCGCTTCGTGAACATTTCGGTCGCAACAACCGCCCAAACGAAACAACCATCGGTCGTCTGGTGCGTAAATTCGAGGCAACAGGTTCTGTGGCAAATCTGCCAGGCTCTGGCCGGCCAAGGAGTGTTCGCACACCGGAAAATATTGCTGTTGTGAAGAAGAGTGTGAGAGACGATCCGAAACAATCAACAACGCGTCGATCCCAAGAACCAGTTTGCTCCGCATTCTCCACAAGGATTTGAATGTACAGGCCTACAAGATCCAATTGACGCAAGAGCTGCGTCGGGCCGACCATTTTTCGCGCCGAACGTTCTCACATTGGCTCCTTGAACACCGCCAAATTGATGCCAATTTTTCATCAAAAATCATGTTCAGCGACGAGGCGCATTTCACTTTGAATGGGACGGTAAACAAGCAAAACTGCCGCATCTGGGCGAACGAAAATCCCCGTGAGTATCAAGAGCAGCCGATGCATCCTCAAAAAGTGACTGTGTGGTGTGCATTGTGGTCAAAAGGCATCATCGGACCTTACTTTTTCGAAAATGCGGCCGGGGACGCCGTTACCGTCAATTCTGAGCGATATCACGTGATGATACAGGACTATTTTTTGCCTCAACTTGAAGGAATGGATATGGACGATGTTTATTTCCAACAAGACGGTGCAACATGCCACAAAACCAAAGTCAATATCCATCGATTGCAGTCCTTCTTCGGTGATCGCGTGATTTCGCGCAGAGGAAATGTTCCATGGCCACCAAGATCGTGCGATTTGACTCCCTTGGACTTCTTTTTATGGGGATATTTGAAAAGCAAAATCTACGTCAACAAACCAGCCACCCTCCAAGAACTCAAAAACAACATCATTGCCGAGATAAATGCCATAGAACCGACCATGTTGCAAAATGTCATTGAAAATTTCGACCATCGCGTGGACGTCTGTAAATCCAGTCGTGGTAAACATTTGAGCGATATTATTTTTCATACATAAATGGTATAAATGAACCTTCAAAATAAAGTACCCAACTTGATTTGAATATCAATCTTTCTTGTTTTAATATGCGTTTACTTTCCTGCGTCTTTTCTGTTATCTTACCTATAGGCTCTCTCCAGTCCAAAAGCTACTCCTGGAAAGACGAACCATTTCCAAAAATTCGGTCCGTGCAGGATCAGCAGTATCCAAAATGGAACATACAGCAGATGCGTGTAGTAAAAGACCTCGAAGCACCCACCTCTGCGAACAAAAGGTTGCGAACACACGAACATAATACAAAGTATCAGCAGCAGTGCGAATCCAGTAGGGTTGGCCAGGCCTCCGATTAGTCCAAAAAGACCTGGTTTGCTGGTGAACAACCATTCGGAGGCAGTATAATTGCGGGCATTGAGAACAGGGCTGTTGACGACTACCATTGCTGAAAGGAATGTGATGTGTTTCAATATTCGTCGTCTGTTGGCCGCCCAATGAAACCACATACAGTGCTTTTCTTTAATGTCCTTGTGTCTTGCTCCTGGCGAGTACTTTATAACCCCAGAATATAAAGTCCTTTACCTACTACAAAATGATGGTACATTTAATAATTACCTGAATACATTGACATTTGTCTTGATAATTCGAATAAATACGTTGAGTTCAGTTTAGAAGATGTTGGAAATGGTTGCCTTAAACTGCTTGACACAATAATAGCCGGTACGTAATTTCGCGTCGAACAGCTTCAAACATAGTCACATCGATATTTCTACAAATATTTTTTAGTCTCAGCCGAATATCCAATATTGAAGCAGGTTCAGTTTCGTACACCTTTTGCTTCAAATAGCCCCATAAAAAAAGTCTAAAGGTGTCAAATCTGGCGAGCGAGTTGGCCATTCCACAGGACCTCGACGGCCAATCCAGCGACCGGGGAAATTGTTATCTAGATAATTCCTAACTTGTCTTTACTAGTGCGATGGAGCACCATCTTTTTGAAATACAAGTATCGAATTCAATATCCCAGCCCAAACGTTAATTTTTTGTGGATATTGAGTATGAGTTTCCCGGAAGACGTCAGGATTGGTGTCACTCCAATAACGACAATTTTATCTATGCACATTACCGTTGAGAAAAATGTACATTCATCTCTAAAACAAATATTTTGGATATAGGTAGGATGCCACGCAATGGTTTTCATCACAGTATCGCAGAATTCTGTTCTTCGATCAGATGGTCGGATGACCTGGGGGGCTTTTTTTGTTGTTTATACTACCAGTAGCTGTTAATTTAGATACAAGTTCCCTTAAATATTTCTTACAGATAGGACGATTCGGGAAACGATCATTAAAAATCCTTTCGGTCTCCAGAAAGTTACCCGTCATATCATAAATAAAAATCGCTTCGATTTTTTCTTCCAATGGACGAGAATTGGCCATTTTAAAAACAGTTCAAACAGTATCTAACACTAAAACCGAAAACTAAATAAGAATATTTTAACTGTACAATGATGTTTGTTTTCATACTGATATTCTTGTACCTGTCAACAAAAAATAACAAAATTGTAATCTGCCGAGTTTAAAAAATGCGATCGGGTAACGTGTAGTATGTCGGTTTAATCAAGATACTTTGGTCGGTCGTTTTGCGAAAAAAAATCGTAGCTATGTCGCTCCGTAACGCAGGTCCGTATCGACGAAGACAACGTACGCCGAAAAACGGTTGTCATCGGTACTTTTGAGGCGCTCAAAGTTTACTTTTTCGAAATTTGACGGTAATTCTAACGGTCACAATCGTTTCGTCAGCTCATTATCGTTATATTTCGATAGCTGTATAATTTTTACTCGCTCACGTACGGTAGTAATAAGCGAGGACAGAACCGGATGACAAAGTGACTTTTTCACGCGTCGAAATGTAGCGTATTGTCGAGGAATTTTCAAAAAATCGAAACTTTTCGACGTAAACGAATAAAGAAACGGATAAAGTTGCGATCCGGTATTCGAAGTACGGGTTTTCTTATGCGAAAGTCGCCAGGTCCGTATCTTCGTTATCTTCGGAGGAGATAGACCGTGGACGGCGATAAGCGCGTTTGATAAGCAAAAAAGTCGTTCGAGACGGCGTTCGAAGGTCGTTTATTCGCTAGCGGTGCCGTAAACGGAAAAACGTCTCTCCGCGTAATTCGTAGCGCTCGTCGAGATGTACGAAACGCGGCGTGCGAAATTTCTTTTCTCTTCGGCGTAAAGGAGATATCGAAGTTTTTACCGCGACTTGCCGTTTTTCTTGCGTTTTCTTTGAAAGTGCCCCAAAAAAAAACTAAGACGCGGAACGCGGATTGTTCCAGCCTAATGGGAGCGCCCGTCGTTTAGCTATCGAACAAAACCGATCTCGTGTCGATATTTCGATAAACGGCGAGCCGGCAGATAAAATAGTCTCCGTACCGCGCGAAAAACCGTCGATTTTTCGACTTTACCGGCCGTTTTCGATCCGATTCGTTCCTCTTACTGCGACGGCTCTCACCCGCCCGTAAAGCGCCGAGTTTCTAGTTTCCGAAACGGTTCCGCTTTCGTTCCGGATGTTTAGCGAAGCGGGAAAAAACCGGAAAAACCGCGTCGATGTCATACGACAATTTCTGAACCCCTACCAATTACTGCCAAATCGAACAATCGATCACCGCTTAATATAGTCAACAAATTTTTATTGCTGTTGCTGCGGATACGGCAGGGAATTACAATTATTTGTGGATATATGCATGTTAGTGGGTTTGTGTTCAAATAATTATTAAATGTACCACCATTTTGTAGTAGGTAAAGGTATTGATATCCTAGCGTTATAAAGTACTCGCCAGGAGCTTCAAAATGAAGTGCCACAACACATGTATCACATTTTGGAGTTTATACTAAAAAAATTAAAATATCTACATAATTAATTCCGTTGGGCTAAAAACTGTTTGAGAGACCTGGGTTGATAGAAAAAGACCTCCTCTGTCGGCCATTTCAATTTCGCAAACGATGCACCAAACTACCTGTACATATGTGCCAGTCGGGTTGTCTGTGTTGTCGTTTGTGAACAGAGGTAATGTTCAAGTTATAAATTATGCTTTTCCCCGGTTTATTTTTGCGTTTTCAGACACTTTGAAAAGCATTACGGGAAAGCACCACCGCGCCCGCGCTGTGTGTAATTAGGCCATATCGCAAAAAAACTATAGTAGTGATTTGAACTTGAACATGAGCGTCTACAGCTTCTAGTGTTAAGCTCCTTTTATTATAAGATAAGAGCATACTTACAGAAATTGCATACGTGCATGACGGTATGGAGTAAGCTATATCCAAATACAAGAACTCCTGTTAGCTTGTGGAAGTAAATATGATTATCCAGCGGTAGTATCGCGCTGAATCCTCTTGTCCTGAGAAAGGTTATCGTATGCCTCAACATCAGTACCAGTATGAAAGCACAGTTGAAGTTCAAACACTGTCCTGAAAAAGTTTAAGTACTGAAAAAGAACTTGTTCAAACATTATACTTCACCCTTCTTCGTCCCATTTTTGTAATTAATGTACATACGAGGTCTGTGAAGTAAGTGATGAGACTGGCAACGTAGCGTTCGATCTGGCAACACAGGAAGCGCCGACGTCGGAGGAGAGACAGAGGAACATGTGATCCGTCTTCAGTACAAGTTTGAACTCCCTCGAGCCGTTTGGTGGTCATTGTGACTTTGAAAAGTTGAAAAATCACCTCAAGCGAATTCATTTTGGGACAATCGAAATCATTCAAACGGCTGCAACCGATCAGAGTTCCAGCAAGGCTATGAGGAATGGCTTCCGAAGGAAGTTATTTTGATTGCGACTATAAATTTGTAATAATTTAATAATAAGATCACGTAATTTACAGACCTCGTAAGTACGTGGTGTTTTCTCCCTCTGAGTATTCTACAAGAACTGGTAGAATCTAGGACTCTTCTCAAAGACTGCCGCACTCTTTCAAACAAATGATGTTCATTTCTTGATTCCTATTGAACTACATCCTGCAGTTATCGGACTTCCCAGATTTTCCCTATTTGCGTCTCGGGTTGTGTAAGTTAACATTACGTTCGATATCACCATAGGAAATAATATCGGTAAGTCCAAAGATTGTGGTCTTTGTGTTTGCGAAAAAAAACCTGACTGCATATTGATAAACAAGGAATTGAGTATTTGAGCTTATCAATCTGAGACAAGGATATTCAGAGTGGCGCATCGAAAACGAAACAGACGCATTTACTGGCAGCTCAGGTTTTTTTTGGAAAAACGCTCAGACCCGTCGATTTTGTTTTGTCTGCGTTAGCACGTGCAGCCCCATAAGCGGGGGTGACACCACCCCCAAAATCTTAAATGAAAGGGGGGTCGAGTGATACCTTATTTTAAAGGTCTTTCAGTTTCCTTTATAATGATATAAAATTAATGTACTTCAGTTCAGTAGTTTTGAAGATTTATTGATTTAAAGCTTAAGCTAGAAACTAATACATCATCATTAGTGGAGATTAATACATTTGGCAATAAAGTAATTTAAAAATGAAGAATGAACTGACCCGTTAGGTAAGTGAATGAAAATGGCCACCATGACTCTCCACATTTTGCAATATTTGAGGAGTAAAATCGACGGGTCTGAGTGTTTTTCCAAAAAAAAAAACTGAGCTGCCAATAAATGCGTCTGTTTCGTTTTGGATGAGCCACCCTGTATAATTTTTGCATCCTAGCAGGAAGTATCTAGACTTGGTCATTTTGACTAGTTTTGTAGATTAAGGGGCTTTAAGTTAGATTTTTTGTTGACGTTTGGCCACCCCCTATAATATGACCCAAGTCGTATCACTCTAAGGTAACGAATTCAAATAGATTTGCGGAGTTTTAATGCGTACTTGTTTGTCTACCAATGCCTACCAAGATGCGCAGAAATGAACATAAGACCATATCAGTAGATCGAAATTACTCACCACAGGCTCTAGCAAAAATGGTGTACCAATTCGAACCTCTATACTCTATAGCTCTGGATACGAAAAGTGCAGCATTGACTAGTAGCACGGCAAATAAAAATAACAAAAATACGTAATTATTTTTCAGATATGGCAGTGTGAATTGGTACGGCTTGTAGGATAAAAACCTCTTGATAATCGGAGTCGCTTTACACTCTTGCTTAGGTGGTACCAACCAACGATCAATACTAAAAAATAAAAAAAAGTATTATAGGACATCTAAGGAAATGGGTACAAATCATTTGACAGAGGTACAAATGTAGGAAGGTGAAGACTTGCATTGGGTATAAAACACAGTTTTTCTTATTCAGATGGTTATCTTGCATTGAGTCATAAAGTAGATACTATAGTGCCAATTGAAAAGCAGCAGATGAAGCAAATGGCCACACGCATCTATACTAAGTGACATATAAATCCGAATACCCAGTTTAAATGGTTTTATTTTAATAAAAGTTGGTGAATGTATTTATCTTACTGTAAATAACGAGTGAAAAAATTTTCAGCCTTATCAGTTGGACATTCCGGTTTTTATACTGCTTCTTTTTAATTCACTAACACTCTAAAAATGAATATTTCAGCCGCAGTAAAGAATCAACGTTGGCGGATGTTGGTTCTTGACATCCTTTACGATCGGTTACGATGCCTAGAGTACGGAGACCTGTACGATTTCGTCAACTTAGTGAGTATGTTAGGGGCCGTATAGTGGGACTTCGGGAAGCTGGATTTTCTTTTCGGGCAATTGCAGTTAGAGTGCAAAGAAGTGTAGACACTGTGGTTAGGTGTTGTCAGGCATGGCTTCGAGAAGGCCGTACGCAAAGAGCAAGGGGCACTGGACGCCGCCGTAGAACAACAGACCGTGAAGATCGCCGCCTAAGATTATTGGCCTTAAGGGATCGTTTCTCCACTACCAGGTCCATTGCAAATGAATGGTTTGCAGAACACGGAAGACCTATTGGCATGCGAAGTGTTTACCGACGAATGAGAAGTTTTGGCTTGTTTTCATACCGGCCACACTGGGTCCTCCCTTTAACTCGAGAACACCGACGTAATCGCCATGAGTGGTGCAGACAACGGTCACTCTGGGATCAGGAATGGAACAGTATTGTCTTTAGTGACGAGTCTCGATTTTGTTTAGGCATGCACGATGGTCGTGCCAGGGTTAGAAGGCGACGTGGTGAAAGGAGGAATCCAGTTTTTTGTTGAAAGACATGTTCATCACACTGTTGGAGTTATGGTTTGGGGTGCTATAGCTTATGGTTCCAGGTAACCTTTAATCTTCATCAGAGGTAACATGAACGCGCAGCGTTATATCCACGAAGTTCTAGAATCCCATCTTTTACCCTATCTTGACACCCTGGCAGATCCAACTTTCCAACAAGATAATGCCCGACCACATGTTGCAAGAGTCACAATAGACTTCTTTCAACATAATGATGTCACATTGTTACCATGGCCACCAATATCTCCCGACTTATCCCCAATTGATGTGTGGGATATGATGGGTAGGAGATTGCTCAATTTGCAACGTCCTCCTCAGACTCTAGAAGCACTTCGAGAGGAGTTGGTGGTTACCTGGAATGAGATACCACAGGAGGACATTGACCACCTGATCAGAAGCATGCCTAGGCGCGTTGGAGAATGCGTAGCACATCAGGGTGCATCCACACATTATTAAAGGTCAAAGGGCTTTAAAGCAGTGCAATCATTTTGAAATTTGTATCATTTACTTATTATGCTTCATTAAGTACTTATACAAAATTTTATTAAAATAAAACCATTTAAACTGGGTGTTCGGATTTATATGTCACTTAGTATATTTATCGATATTTTTCGTCATATTTTTGCATAAATTTTCTCCTTCAATGCGCGAGTGATTGTTTTGCTTTGAATTGGAATAATCCCAAAATCTTTACACCCGTTACCTGATGGACAGATTCTCCAATAACCCTCCATGCTTCTCCAATTGCTTTTTTAATGCCTCATAAGTAATGGCACCTCTATTATTGGCGTCTGCGTCTTCGAATAGCGCCATTGTTAAATCGTCAATTTGATCTTCACTAAACTGCATACCGTTTTCCTCCATACAAGCTCGCATCACATGTTGCAGTTCTTTGTGCTGGATCAGACCATCACCTATTAAACAGGATCTTTTTATTTTTAGGAGCTTAAAGAAACCTTGTTAATCCGATTTTTGAACTGCCCAAGGCTAGTAAGTTGGAAAAGCCTTCTCATGAAAATTGTCCCACAATCTTAATATCGTAGTGACAAAGGAGCGGTCGTATCGACCAGTTCTGGAGTGCTTGGACGCTTCTTGATAGTCAAGATGCAGTACTGTGTTTTGAAAGCACTAAACAGTACAAGCTTGTTGCGTCCCCAAGCAGAGATGACCTCCAGGTCTCTCGTCAAAGAGGAAGTCGCTACTAGTCTTCTTTTCTCAAGGTCATCGGCTTGTCGCTCCGAATTCCTGCATGTAGAGGTGCTGTCAGCAGCAATGTTGCTGATCGTACAGGAAAGAAGGTCGTTGATGTGTAAGAGAAACAGTATCGAAGTCAAGACCGATCCCTGGGGAATACCCCCGTTGACCTCGGAGCATCAAGAGGAGAACCAGACAATTACGACGGATATCTTGCTGCCACAGAAGGCAACCACCCATCTGCAATGCTTCTCTGGGAGGCCATAGGATGAAAGTTTGCATAATAAATACCAAAACTGACAGCAAAGCAGATACTAAATACCTTAGTACCACAACTGTTATAAAGAAGCTGAAAGGATCTAAATTGATGTCCTTCCTTCCTCCTTTGTCTGGCATGTGGGCAACCAAACTTGACACACCTACTGACTTACAAGACTTTAGCCAAGAGCAAATGTCATACGGACTTGTCACGTGCCAAAATCACGTAACTTTTTTTTACTATTTTGATCACTTACTAGTCATTTGAATTTCTCTTTATTATTAGGCCAAACCATTTTTAATCATTTTTTTTTTGGCAAATTTTATAGTTTAACGATTGCAAAATTTCTTTCTCAGTGATTCAATATTGTGTTGGAAAAAAAACTGTGGTTTTTCTCCGTTACTTGGTTTTCTATCGAACATACCTTCTTCACGGCCACTCACTGAACCTTTCTTTATAAAGTTAGGTGTTTCTCCTCCTGAGATTGTGGTGTGAGAACCATTTGTTTAACCTCCAGACTCTGGAATATTAGGTGACGAACACCAGTTTGTGGAGTAGTGCCCCTTCATATTACACCTTACGTTTAGTTGTTTTGGTTTGGGTGCTACCGCGTCCATTTTCTAATTGGATTTTAATCTTCAGCGGTAAAGTTTTTTTTTCTTATACAATCGGACCGCGTGCATTGATGCATTTCCTGAACAAGTTTGTTCTATATCTGCTTCCTTTTAGTGGGAAGGCATTGCGGAGAATCAAATTCTGGGTAAATCATTCGACTCTGTCGTTATTTCATTTCAGACATTTGTCAAATTGTTGTACAACACCTGCAGGCAACACCAAAAGATTCTAATAAACTAAAGACAACATGGACGATGCCATGATTGTACACAACCACCCGCCATATTGGGCAAACATTTATTCCTCTATTTAATATTAAATAACTACGTTTCAGTTCGAAATTACAGATATAAAGTGATAAACATTAGTGTAATTGTGTCTAAATATAGGATTTGTGGAAGATTTAACGCAGATAAGTTCAGTTTTCCATCTTAAAAATCTAGACATACTTTTGATCATTGTCAAAATATGAATCAAATACGAAGCCCGTAGAAATTTGGTAACTAATTTGAATGATAATCACAATAAAATTTGCTGCGCAAGTAATTCAATAGCCCTATATCACAGTGTAGAAGTTTATCATATACCTGTGTATGAAATTCACAATGGCTGATATGTAAGTAAACAAGATGACTGTAATGTGTTAGTTATATATTCTTCACTTCGTCTATACAATCCATAAGAAATAGTTTGGTTGCAATAAAGTAGAATCACGTAACAGAATAGTTGTATAGTTGACAAAAACTGAATCTTGCACTGACGCAAATGTCCTATAGCGGCTGCAAGAGGCTTACACTTTTGTTTTATAACTGTTAACCTCTTAAATGACTGAAGTGTCCTATTAGGTGTGCCCATTCCGCTTTTGTAGCTGTTCTAAGAGGGTTTTGCCAATGTTCTTACAGTATACAATACTGTTTAAGGAATACTGGATAATCATTCTTGCAACTCTAATAGGAGAATTTACCAAAAGAATATCATTGAAAAGGGTTTGGCCTAGGAATGGGCACTCTACCGTTAATATAGAGAAAATCAAATTACTAGTAAGTGAGCAATATAGTAAAAAAAAGATTACGTGATTTTGAACGTGACAGTCTGCTCTGTTAGACAATAACCAATAGGGAACCTTCGTTCAAGTGTTCCGTTAGGAGGCATGTCGCTGTCTTTTCTCTCCAAAGGTCGGTACATTTCTCTGAATGCAGGAAGCAATGCTCGAGCTAGAACTGATCCTTGGAAAACACCCGCGTTGACATTGCAGGATGATTTTCGCAAAAATCCTATTTTCTTATAAAAGCTTAAAATTATATTGTTCGAAAGTTGACTGTTATCTTACCATCAAGATCATAGACCTTGAAAAGGAACCTAATTTTATCTTCCGTTGTTTGACCAGCAAACTGGTGCATGGCATCCAGAAATTCTTGTAGGGATATTGTGCCTGAGTTATCCTTATCGAATATTTCGAAAACCCTATCTGTAAAAAACGGCTGCAACAGAAACGCATCATTTCAGAACGGTTATCGTGAAGGCAGTATAAAAACTTACATTCTTTGAGGTAACGATTTTTTTGAAGTCTTGCCTCTTGATTTCCTTTCCATTTCCTACGGTCTGCCTAAACAGCTGTTCTAATCTATCGATGCTACCCTTATCGAATCCTGTACGTGGCCTGAAAAAAATCGAAGACGGAAAAACGTACAGTACTTTGACAAGGTCGCGCCACTTATTTCTTGAATGTAGGTGTTAAGCTAGTACGCTAAAAATCAGGGATGATGAAATCAATGCATGGATTCTATATTTTGGCGGAAAAAGCCAGTAAAAGTTTCAAGATGGGGGTTTCATCATTTCAAATCAATTGTCATTAAGACTTTGGTTGAATTTGTGATCCTATAGTAGCGAAGCGTCCATGTAACCATTGTTACCATTGGTAACAGTTAAAAATCTTAAAAATAAATATTTTATGACTAAGTACTGTGAAATAATTTCATTTATTTGTTTACCAACAGCGATATGTAATAGTAATTCAGTAAATAGCAGATTAGTCATACGAAAATAATGCGCCCTATAGTGTCTAGGTTTTTCGAACACGATGAAGCTGACTCGCCTCGACTTGGTTGTCGGTTGTTACCATTTTCATTTATGGATACACTTGGTAGTCTGTCGGGGACCGTCGGTACCGGCTCGTGTCTGATCGCGGTCGCCCGAGTGCGCGGGGCGCTGCGACTATTATGTGGGCTTGTTACCATTTTTTGATTAGGTTACTCACTTCTCACTCGTCAATAGCCGTTTTGATTACCGGCTGTAGTGTGCGTGCAATTAAAGATGGTTGAGTGTCGCTGCGTAATCGATCAACTACTTGAAAAGTCATTCTTCTTGTATAATTTTTAAGAAAAAATGGAAGACCAACGCCTATTTTAGATAATTTTAAAAAGGAATAAAAAAACGTAGTTTGATATTTTAAATTAAGTTGGTATATGGAAGCTCTTGTTTATGTGGTTGTAAAAAAACAGGCTGTATTGTTGGCGATGTCTTCTGTTTTATACAGAATAAAATGTAGCGGAGTCAACGATTTAAATATATTAAGTGACATATAAATCCGAACACCCAGTTTAAATGGTTTTATTTTAATAAAAGTTGGTGAGTGTATTTATCTTACTGTAAATAACAAGTGAAAAAATTTTCAGCCTTATCAATTGGACATTCCGGTTTTTATACTGCTTTTTTTTAATTCACTAACGCTCTAAAAATGAATATTTCAGCCGCAGTAAAGAATCAACGTTGGCGGATTTTGGTTCTTGACATCCTTTACGATCGGTTACAATGCCTAGAGTAGGTAGACCTGTACGATTTCGTTAACTTAGTGAGTTTGATAGGGGCCGTATAGTGGGACTTCGGGAAGCTGGACTTTCTTTTCGGGCAATTGCAGTTAGAGTGCAAAGAAGTGTAGACACTGTGGTTAGGTGTTGTCAGGCATTGCTTCGAGAAGGCCGTACGCAAAGAGCAAGGGGCACTGGACGCCGCCGTAGAACAACAGTCCGTGAAGATCGCCGCCTAAGATTATTGGCCTTAAGGGACCGTTTCTCCACTACCAGGTCCATTGCAAATGAATGGTTTGCAGAACACGGAAGACCTATTGGCATGCGAAGTGTTTACCGACGAATGAGAAGTTTTGGCTTGTTTTCATACCGGCCACACTGAGTCCTCCCTTTAACTCGAGAACACCGACGTAATCGCCTTGAGTGGTGAAGACAACGGTCACTCTGGGATCAGGAATGGAACAGTATTGTCTTTAGTGACGAATCTCGATTTTGTTTAGGCATGGACGATGGTCGTGCCAGGGTTAAAAGGCGACATGGTGAAAGGAGGAATCCACAGTTTTTTGTTGAAAGACATGTTCATCACACTGTTGGAGTTATGGTTTGGGGTGCTATAGCTTATGGTTCCAGGTCACCTTTAATCTTCATCAGAGGTAACATGAACGCGCAGCGTTATATCCCCGAAGTTCTAGAACCCCATCTTTTACCCTATCTTGACACCCTGGCAGATCCAACTTTCCAACAAGATAATGCCCGACCACATGTTGCAAGAGTCACAATAGACTTCTTTCAACATAATGATTGAACATTGTTACCATGACCACCAAGATCTCCCGACTTATCCCCAATTGAGCACGGGTGGGATATGATGGGTAGGAGGTTGCTCAATTTGCAACGTCCTCCTCAGACTCTAGAAGCACTTCGAGAGGAGTTGGTGGTTACCTGGAATGAGATACCACAGGAGGACATTGACCACCTGATCAGAAGCATGCCTAGGCGCGTTGGAGAATGCGTAGCACATCAGGGTGCATCCACACATTATTAAAGGTCAAAGGGCTTTAAAGCAGTGCAATCATTTTGAAATTTTTATCATTTACTTATTATGCTTCATTAAGTACTTATACAAAATTTTATTAAAATAAAACCATTTAAACTGGGTGTTCGGATTTATATGTCACTTAGTATAGTTTTAGGGCTCTAAAGAGGAATTTCTCCCTTACATGTGAGATGTGTAGCCAATTTAATTCAGTTTGGCAAAACAAGAATCGAAAGTTGTCTAACCAAGCTTTTAGGCAGCACACTTCTAGATACCGATATTTTTTGGCAAAACAGGAATTACCGTTCATTTTGAAGGGGATGACTCTGACAATAGAGGAAATTACAGGGAATTGTTAAGATTCAGTGCCAAAAAAGAACTGCTTGGATTAGTCATAGCGTAAGACGATGAGGTATATCCAGACGCCCAGTCAAGGAATGTTAACCTTAATTTAAAAATAGTATAAATAAAATAGCTAAAATAAGCAAAAACTTATATTTGGGAGGTTCAAAATAAACTTTTTTTAATAAGATTTTTCACATCTGGTTTTGGTAACAGTTTAGAAAAAGTCACGCGTCGCCACTGGTGATCCAAGTGTTTTTTTACAGCAAAATCGGGCCCAAACTATAGTTCATTCGCTGAATCAAAGCAGTTACGACACAACGTCAAATAATGACAGTGACGTACATGGTTTCCACATTAATTAAAACTACTAGATCCTAGGAAGTTATACGAAATCTACTTTATGTGGCTTACTGCAATCAACAGTACTGATCGTATGTTTTCTAAACGCTGGAGCTAGTATACATTCTATTCACTACCTAATACCCCTTTTACGGACTGCAAAGGCAATAATGGAGCTCCACGATCTCGTTTGGTCTCAAAATATTTCGTCAAAGAAATTACGAAGTATACTAAGTGACATATAAATCCCAACACCCAGTTTAAATGGTTTTATTTTAATGAAGCATAATAAGTAAATGATAAAAATTTCAAAATGATTGCACTGCTTTAAAGCCCTTTGACCTTTAATAATGTGTTTATGCACCCTGATGTGCTACGTATTCTCCAACGCGCCTAGGCATGCTTCTGATCAGGTGGTCAATGTCCTCCTGTGGTATCTCATTCCAGGCAACCACCAACTCCTCTCGAAGTGCTTCTAGAGTCTGAGGAGGACGTTGCAAATTGAGCAATCTCCTACCCATCATATCCTACACGTGCTCAATTGGGGATAAGTCGGGAGATCTTGGTGGCCATGGTAACAATGTGACATCATTATGTTGAAAGAAGTCTATTGTGACTCTTGCAACATGTGGTCGGCCATTATCTTGTTGGAAAGTTGGATCTGCCAGGGTGTCAAGATAGGGTAAAAGATGGGGTTCTAGAACTTCGTGGATATAATGCTGCGCGTTCATGTTACCTCTGATGAAGATTAAAGGTGACCTGGAACCATAAGCTATAGCACCCCAAACCATAACTCCAACAGTGTGACGAACATGTCTTTCAACAAAAAACTGTGGATTAATCCTTTCACCACGTCGCCTTCTAACCCTGGCACGACCATCGTGCATGCCTAAACAAAATCGAGACTCGTCACTAAAGACAATACTGTTCCATTCCTGATCCCAGAGTGACCGTTGTCTGCACCACTCAAGGCAATTACGTCGGTGTTCTCGAGTTAAAGGGAGGACCCAGTGTGGCCGGTATGAAAACAAGCCAAAACTTCTCATTCGTCGGTAAACACTTCGCATGCCAATAGGTCTTCCGTGTTCTGCAAACCATTCATTTGCAATGGACCTGGTAGTGGAGAAACGGTCCCTTAATGCCAATAATCTTAGGCGGCGATCTTCACGGTCTGTTGTTCTACTGCGGCGTCCAGTGCCCCTTGCTCTTTGCGTACGGCCTTCTCGAAGCCGTGCCTGACAACACCTAACCACAGTATCTACACTTCTTTGCACTCTAACTGCAATTGCCCGAGAAGAAAGTCGAGCTTCCCGAAGTCCCACTATACGGCCCCTATCAAACTCACTAAGTTGACGAAATCGTACAGGTCTTCGTACTCTAGGCATCGTAACCGATCGTAAAGGATGTCAAGAACCAAAATCCGCCAACGTTGATTCTTTACTGCGGCTGAAATATTCATTTTTAGAGCGCTGGTGAATTAAAAAAAAGCAGTATAAAAACCGGAATGTCCAACTGATCAGGCTGAAAATTTTTTCACTTGTTATTTACAGTAAGATAAATACATTCACAAACTTTTATCAAAATAAAACCATTTAAACTGGGTGTTCGGATTTATATGTCACAATGAATGATCTATACTTAGTATTCACTGTTAGTAGCAGCATGCTTCTCACAGGTTACACTTACATTGTATTCGTGATAGTAGCTAGGAACTCCATAATGGTATCGGAGGAAACTGTTCCTAAGCTGTCACTATCCACTAGCCTGAATAATTTTTCTATTATCTGAAAAAATATTGTACAAAAAGTCACTTTTGCATAAGGTGATAATGATGTACTAGTGCATCCTTTCTTGAAGAGCTTGTCTACTCGTTCACTATGAACGAGTAGACAAGCTTACTTCTTAAAACAGGTAATATTAATTTGTTCGCATAGGCGGCTCCATTAATAAAATATCCAACTTTCCAAGCACGCATGCAAGTAATAACAATTTAACCGTACGAAGTCGCAGGTTACAACTAGTACCTAATAAATGGTATTCATCCGTCTACTCACCCCTTTTGTATAAAATATTTGGTAAAACTGCTCTATATAAATTGGTCTTTCACCACATAAACAGAAAGCGACGCTCTCCAGTTGCTCCACGAAGTCCACATGCTTTTCGTTACTGAAAAATACTGATATTATTGAAAACACTAATTTTTTTAAAGCTGCCTGAATACTCACGTTAGGCGCTGTTTGAGAAACTCCACCCAATTTTCCTGTTCCAAGCAATCTTGCCTGTTTTGGTCGAACAGTTTGAAGCACTGCTCAAGGAACTCCTGGAAGAAAGAAATAATGCATGTTAGTGATACCCTAGTGAACGTCAGATTCAAAAACTGAATAATGCATATACATGGTATGGTAAAGAAAGCATAGTGACACCAATATTTAAATCTGGAAGTAAAGACAATATGTTCAATTATAGACCTATTCATGTATTTGGGAAGATTTTTGAAAAGTGTTTGAATAACAGACTTTGTTCTTTTCTTGAGAAATATGACATAATATCGAACTGTCAATTCGCAAAAATTGCAATACAGAGCAATCTCTACAAGAACTTACAGGACAAGTGCTTGAAAATTTTCAAGATGGAAATAAGACTGTTGCAGTTTTCCTAGATCTTCAAAAGGCTTTCGATTCAGTATCTCATACAATTTTATTAAAGAAACTAGAAAGTGTTGGGGTGCGTAGTGGAGTTCTGAACTTATTTGAGAACTATTTGGCTGATCGATTACAACAAGTTAAGGTAGGGTCAGATTTAAGCAACATTCAAAAGATCAAAATAGGTGTGCCTCAGGGGACGGTTTTGGGACCAACACTGTTCCTCATATACATAAATGAACTACTTCGATGTAATTTCAACTGTAAGATGATATCATATGCTGACGATACTGTTTTAGTTTGCACTGGTCATTCATGGGATGACGCAATACGGAATGCCGAGTTGTCATTAAATAAAGTCGAATGCTGGTTGGATAACAATTTACTTAAACTTAAGATCTCTAAAACTAAGTATGTAACGTTTTCTCCAACCAAAGCAGGCATGCCATTACACCACCGAACATTAATTATAAATGATAGTGCTGACACTGTCGAATGAGTTGAAGTTATTAGATACTTAGGAATCATTGTTGACAGTAATTTAAAATGGCAGAGTCATGCCGAGCTTTTGGCATCGAAATTAAGGAGAATTATTCATAAGTTTTTCATTCTTAGGAATATTTTAAGCAGAAAGGGTCTTCTCTCAATATATAACTCGTTTGTGGGGTCTCTACTAACTTATGGGATAAGTATTTGGGGAGCCGCATACACTAGTACTTTAAAAATACTACAAACCACGCAAAAAAATTATATTGTCAGGACTATTTTTCGTATCCCATGTAGGTCAAGTTGCAGATTTGTTTACATTGAAAATGATCTTTTGAATGTTAGAGGTTTATATATTTTTGCTACTCTAAAATTTGTTCACTCCCGAAACAATGTTCCAACCAGCCACGCTTATGAAACAAGAACTAAAATAAATATAAGTTACACCTATACCAGAGTGAATAAATCTGTTTGCCAAAAATACATAAAGTTTGATGGTATTAGGTTGTATAATAAATTACCCCTAGAATATAAAATCGTCTCGAAGTATAGTTTCAAAAAAGAATTAAGAAGTTCATCTTAAATAACTTTGACATGCTTGCATCGACGGTAGCTTGACTCAACTCAGTAATTTCGTTTCTATCTAATGTTTTTTTCATATACATTTGCTCATAATATACCTTATGACCATTAGCCATGCATTCAATTTGTATATTGTATGACACACACAAGCTTATAGCTTAGGTGTCTATTATTTTGTAGTAAATTCTTTTGTAGTAAAAAAAAATGGTCTGCAGAGTTTCGTGCGCTTTTTGTTTTTCGTACATTACATTAAAGGTTAAAACATTTTTCTGGATTTTTAGTTATTTTTGGAATGCTGTAAAATTGGTAGTACCGGGGTTAAAGAAATATTTTGAATATTAATGCTTCTAATATTGTATTGCATCTTTCTTTTTTTTCAAGCATTCATTTGCTTTTTCTTGAAACCTGGTTACGACCTTTTTTAGCTGGAATATTGAACCATAAATCTTGAAAGACTCTTGTATCTTTGATCGACGATGCCTCAACAAGCAATAGTCTCCCAGGAAATCTAAAGACAGCTCTAAAAACTGGAAAACATCGAACTTGAAAACACAAAAAACTATTTTTGTATCAATTTTTTTGCTTAATTTCAATGGTATTTGCGTGAATAATGGAGGACAGGCTCGACAAGTTTGTTTTTCATCTTGTTGTTTATGCTCAGAAACGTGACCCTTTCATTTTTTCAAAAATTTAACCGTTTGCAACAAGGAAACCGTTCGTTAGATCATAATGGAAGTTCGCATGGTTTTTGAGAATATATTCAACTATAAAAGACACTTACTTTTATGCGAAAAACAAAGGCTACGTTTTTTCTTCTAAACAAATTCAAACATTTCGTATTTGTGAGTAATTGAACAAATACGCCACGATGTTCGAAAAAAATACGTTACTACAGTATATTCAGATAAGAGATAGACCGGATGTAAACAAAAGGTTCGGGTGATTTTCACGCTAACGCCGCCTTCTCGACGTAAAACAGGAGCCCTCATTGGTCAATTCGCAATTAAATGCCTATGCCGAGCGGCAGAGCAGTCGTATCAAGGCAGAGTCACATTCAGGTTCAGACGTGTTACGTATGTCGTGTGCATCATTGCAATTTGATATTTCTTTGGACGTTTTCGTTTGTTATCTTATTAAGTTGTTGAGTTTGTCGTTGTTATTGTTATACCTTGTTATTGATTGTTATTGTTATCAACTGCTTGCGCAAAATGCCCAGTAGTACAGATACTGCCGATGAAGTTGTAAACTCCTGTAGTCCACCTAGGAAACGCTCTAAAAAAAGGCACCTGAGTGCAGAAATGAAAGAGGTCATTTTGAATATATATAAGATCGAGCGCGAGGAGAACGAGGCATCAACCATCAAAGAAATTGTTGTGAAGGTTTCTCACAAAGTTGGGGTGTGTCGCGCATCAGTGTTTAATGTGTTAAGACAATACAAAAAAAATCACACCTTTTCTGAGCCAATGACCAGTAAACATCGCAAAAGTATTGTTAAATCATTGGATGAAGCTGATAAGCATGCGATTAGGAGGAAAGTGCATGAATTCTTCTTTAGGAATGAAATACCTACTATAGATAAAGTACTGCAGGAGCTCATATGGGCAGAGGTTAAAAATTATATAGCTAAGCACAATACAACTTTTAAATTTTGTGACCTCAAAGGACTTTTCAAAGAAGCACTAGAATTAATAACAGCGCAAAAATGGGAAAACTGTATTAAGCACGTGAAAGACAAAGTTGAAAAGAGAATGTGGGAACTGGACAATATTTTAGAGGAACAAGTCGAGCCATTCATTATTGACGTTGGTGCTTCAGGCAGTAGCGATGATGAAAGCTCATCAAGCTCATCTTTCCAATAAAAGATGTCGTTCATCAAATTCGGTAAGTTATAAGTAATTATAAAGCTACTGTATTTTTTAATTAATTATTGACATTTTTGAACCCATTTTGACAAAACCTATTCAAGAAACTACTTCCTGACAATGTTCAACCATGCACATTTTTTTACGTTTTGAACGTTTTAATTTGGTTACATATTTACCTAGAAATCAAAAAATATACTAATCAATATTCTAAAAGCAATTTTAAGAGATTTTTTTTAATTTAGGCTAATTTAAACGCCATTTTGAGATTATATTCGACTGTATTTCACCAAACATCAGGCGGCATCCGAAGCTGGAAATCGAAGCGAAAATTTTGAAACCCTTATGTATATTTACATCATTATATATTTCTTACCCCACCCCCACATGATCCTATATCCATCACCAATCGTATACACATCGAATTGTGCTAATTTACTACAAAGTTACGCAAAGCAGCATCTACTATCTAAAATATGTACTGCGTGACTCTTGATACACCCCTGCCGAATGTTACAGCGTTCGATGATCACGTGGTCTTGTTTATGTCCGGTCTATCTCTTATCTGAATATACTGTATACTGATTCTAGAACAAGGAGAATGTGTCTATCATCTTTTGTTGCGAATACGGAATGTTTGAATTTGTTTAGAAGAAAAAACGTAACCCATCCCTTTTTGGGTAAAAATATCATTTATCTTCCGAAGTGGTTTGCGATTCATAACGGCAAGGTAAACTAATGTATTTTGCTATAAAATGCCCTTTGATCTTACCCTGTATATTGCTCAATAAACTAGTACTCGTATCGCATCTCTTGTTATGAAGTGAATCATTTGAGTGTAATATGTATTAGTTTTTTTGAGGACGTTTCGACTTACCATTTTTACATTATGGTTATACAGTAGTGTGTATTTTTTACCGTAACAATATTGATCGCATAATGCAATTTTGTATTATTTTGATGATGGAAATAATTATTGCCAAATAATCGTTTCTTTTATTTAAGGTGAATATTCCCAACACTACAACACCATCACAATCAGCATTGTTCATGGTTTGTCAATCTAGTTGCACTGTTGCCAAATTGCTTGTGTCCCGCTAGTCCAGTTTCCATTGTTTAGGTTCATTCTATTCCTAAATTTTCAGTGAATATCGGAAAAACTACTTACAGAAAACTTAATTTACCTCCGAGATTTTTCCTCCACTTAAGTCGCGGCGTAAGGTTTTCATTTTCAATACTGGGAGTACTTATGATGGCCGGAAAACACGTGTTTTGGGATAAACAATTAGAAATTCTCAAAGACTACTTGACCAATCTACTCCAATTTTGTTGCGTTTATTCAGAAGTACGAATTTGCGGAATTTCAAGTATCTGCGAGAAACCATCGTTGCATTACCAGGAGCCAAAACCTGCAGTTTGCCTCGGTATTCGGGTATAACTTTTTTGCTATTAGTCGAATCTTTTTATATGAAGAGCTTTTTCGCTACTTCCAATAGTTTGGATTGAATCCCAAAAAACACGTTTTGTTTGTTGTCGGATAAAAAGTTTTCCGACAAAAGTTGGTGTACCTATTTTAGGCGTCCATGTTTTAAATACCTCCTTGAACAACTTGTAGCAATAAAACCATGGGTATTAGACTATAGTGACCACAATCCTTTAAACACATTTCACTAAAAATATCAGGCCCAGGCTCCGAGACTGAAACTAAGAATATTTCTTTCAGTGAAAAACTCAGTAGGTTTCCTGTTTCTCTCGTCATGTCTTTTATCGCATCTGTTTCACTTCAACGATTTCTTGCACCGACGCGTAGTACGCCACGTCGCTTCGTTCACCACTAAAAGAGGCAGAGATCCTTATCCGATGGATTTACATTATATTAAATTATATAGCCTTCAGTCGGCCGTGTCCAATCAGGCATGCTCGATTAAATTTTTATGTGCTT